GTTAAATTATGGGTTATGGGTTATGATGACAGTAGCCTACTCAGTTTTAGCACATTTATGTGCATTTATGTTACATTCTTGTTGAATTATAATATCACCATTGAATAGCAGTAAATATTGCAGGTTGTACCTTAATTCCAAGAAATGGTTCGACTCAGTTTAGCTTTTGGCTTATGTCTGTGAATCCATTCAGATTTGATGGCTCTTCTTCGCCATCTTGTGGTCACATTCATGAAAGAGTTTAGGACTACTGCCCCTGCCTGACCTTTGGCTTTTACTAATGGTGATGGAATCTTCATATTTGCAAAAGTATTGTAAGAAACATACTTTTCTTGAGATGGTAGGCCTATTCCATCCTATTGCCTAAAATAAAAAGTAGGTTACCTGGTAAAATAAGGGTGAAATAAAAAAATAATATATGTATTTACCCTATAGGCTCATGTTTACTCAATTTTGGTTCTTATCTAGCCTACATCATACATTTCATCCATGTTATCAATTGGATCCATGTTATCAATTTTGATTTGGCCTACTTAAAAATGTGTGTTAACATATGTGGAGAAATTTTACAAACAAATTTGTGCATAGAGCAGTTCGGAAGGAATCAATAGGCTACATACATAGCTTGATCAAATTAATTTACAAACATACCTCCTGCGAGTCCTGCCCATCATCGGCAGCTCAAATCAAATCAAACACTGTGTGTGTCACTCAACACTCTCTCTCCTCCTCCACTGACGAAACTGTCTGCACGCACTAGAGCAGTGGTTCCCAAGTCCAGTCTTTGAGTACCCCCAACAGCACATATTTTTATTGCACACCTGATTCAACTTGTCAACTAATCATCAGGCCTTCAATGAGTTGAATCAGTGTGCTGTTGGGTGTACTCAAGGAGTGTCGAGTGACACACACAGAATTTGATTTGATTTTAGCTGCCGGTGATGGGTAGAACTCGCAGGAATTTGTAAATTAATTTGATCAAGAAATATATGTAACCTATTGATTCCTTCCATCAGCTTTCTTTATTCAAATCTTACCTTAACATTAGAATTATTTCACAATACTACTGATGACGGATCAGCTCCTGGAGAGTTATTACCACCTACGGCTGCAATGTGGCTTATTCTAATGCTTACACAATAAAAATGCACAAAATCACTGATTTGGCACATCATTGCACACATGTTAGGCTACACATCATAAAATATATTGAGACAAATTACAGACAGTAGACTACAAGTAGCAAAGTAGAACTAAATTGATTGAGCATGAAATGTATTTAAATATGATAAAAATTGGCCTATACCCTACTTTTTCTTTCAATGCAGTTATCTGGGTTTTCATTTGAAGCATATTTTTATACGTCGGTTGTTTGAATCAATTGCAAAGAGATTGACAACTTTGTATTTGTAGTCAACTTTGTTCTGAAGTTATCTGCATCACAGAGAGAGATGATTAAACCATGTGATTCTGTGTTTAGCGGCAATGTTCTGTGTATAAAGTGACATGGGAGGGCAAAAAAATATTCTGACTCACTTGGCTGTGGTCTGAGGCAGGCATTAGATTATGTACGTTTTCAAGTGCAACGCTAATAATTATGGTTTTGGGAAACAGCTCGGAGATTTAACGATGCTCCTAAGAAGGTTCTAACGATATTCGTGGGTGCCAAAGGAAGCCAGGCTCCCCCCCCCCCCCCCCAAAAGAAAACTAAAAAAAAAATAACATATAAAATAAATCGTCTCTCTGTGTTTCGTAATTTTCCTTCAATTCGCAAGAGGCTGAATGTATCTCACCAGAGAAAGCATCCGAGTGAGCAAAACAGCGCCCCTCTGTCTCTGTATGTGTAGCCCATCTATCTGATGCTGTCTGGTCAAAAATAGTATGACATTGTTGCCGCCCGTAGCATTGAATGCAAGGGAAGCCTGCAAAGCATTTTGCCTCCCTTGATAAAAAAATAAAATAAATAATAATAGACAATCAGCGTTGAGCTAAACTGAGCGAGCTCAACTGTGAATGGTCCTAGCACACCAAAAAAAAGTGTAAAGGGAAGCCAGTTTGGATTTGGCGTCACGTCAATCACATCACATCAAAAGCAAAACGTAATTGACAGAAATACTTGAATTGTTGCATCTCATTGTGTTGTTGTCCTCCGGTGGCTAGCTAGCTAGCTAAAATTGGCCCTTTCCTAAATTAGTCATGGATGGAGATAGGGATTTGGACTTTAATTTTACTTAATACTCCGTACTGGCCAATGATTATATAACGTAGATTCTGATCCGACCAACCATAAATTCATACATTGTGCCCCTGCCCTAAATGAAGGATGGATGTTCAATATGTACCTAGATGTAGTAGTCTAATGTTAACTAGCTTGCTCATTGTTGCCCATGAAAATAAGTTAGGTTAGCGAGCAAGCATTTTAGTCAGGTAGCCTAGGTCAACAGATTATAGAGCAAACAACGCAATGATCACAACACATAGGTTGTAATAAGGATTTTTGACTTGGCTTCCCCAGTGATTTTACCCACGCACCGCTACTGTCTAACGATGAACTTAGCCTTAAGATGCTTTTGGGAAACTGGGCCCATGTCCTTAAGATTGACATGATAGTAAAACATATTTTTGAAGCTATAGGCCTACATGTCTTGTTTACAAAGTCTCAAATGACAACTCAGCTTATAAAAATTGGATCATTTATATTCTTCAAGAATTGAATAGGTATATCATTAATTGAAATGACCAACCACTAATTGTTACAAAAACCTATTACTTGTGCCATGCAACTAAGAGCATTCTGCTCTGGCACTGCTTCAGTGCCTTAAAACCTCTACTGGATTGGTGTCCCTATACCGGTACAGTTGCTGCTCAATATGCGATATGTGACAAGAATGGCGTTGTAAACAACAGCCAACTTTCCGGGACATAGACATGTCTTATATGGGCAGAAAGCTTCAATTCTTGTTAATCTAACTGCAGTGTCCAATTTACAGTAGCTATGACAGCAAAAACATACCATGCTATTGTTTGAGGATAGTGCACAACAACAAAACACTTTTATCACAGCAACTGGTTTGATACGTTCACCTCTCAAGGTAAATAATGTACTTACATTCAGTAATCTTGCTCTGAATTGTGCAGGAACTGGGTTCTGCAGTTTGACCCAGCTGCTGTATCTGGCTCCACACCCACCCCCGCCCAGCCATCTAGAGGTGGGAAGGTTAGTGTATTTTCTGTAGGGAAGCTAATGATCCATCATGTATGACATTCCTGGGAGTGTGTAAACTTAAATGTTTTACTACCATAGCATTTTTTGTGTGTTCTCTATAGTTATGTACATGAAAATGTATACATTTACCAATTCGGCACATTTGGGAAAACTCCTGGCAGAGTTGATACAAAATATTGTGTAGTGATGTAATTCTTCACTGGATCAGTCAGAAACTTTGCACACACACTGATGCCATCTTGTGGACAACATCTAAATTACACCTAGGATCCTCCATCGCTGTCTGGCCTTTCTCTTTAATTTCAAAGATGATTTTTTTAAAACGACAGAAAATAACGCATGTTTTTTGATTGTATTATCTTTTACCAGATCTAATGTGTTATATTCTCCTACGTTAATTTCACATTTCCACAAACTTCAAAGTGTTTCCTTTCAAATGATATCAAGAATATGCATATCCTTGCTTCAGGTCCTGAGATACAGGCAGTTAGATTTGGGAATGTCATTTTAGGCGAAAATTGAAAAAAAGGGTCTGATCCTTTAAAGTGACTGTTGCTGAACTTGAACAAACTTAATCCCCTAACAATATAGCCCTCAAACACCCTGTGTGGCATTTGTAAGACGTTCAATGGTCAAAACAATCACCAATCCTCTGAAACAGGCTCTTTTGTCAAATGTTCTGTCAGAGTATGCTCCAAACAGAGAATACAGTACTCTCCCCCACTTGGTCATCATGGAAGCATTGCCGTCTGTGCCACCTGTGAGATGCTAAAGGTGCCACCAACCAAGGCACACAGGCCAGTGCAGCATAGCCATACAAAACACTCTCTGTATAAACAACATCATGTCTCTCTGCCTGCTCTCTGAATGCCTCTGTTTACAAGGCTTTGTCTAATCAACACTGAATTGCTGGTGCTGACACGGTGAAACAATTAGCACGAACCAACAGGACATTAGTTACTGTTAAGTAGTCCAAACAGATTCCGATCTTAATCCCAAACTGACTTTGAGGGCCAAATCCTGTTGATGTCAACAGAATCGGCCTGCTGCTGTTGTCCCAGGTGCAGCAGTCACACACAGGCCCTGGCTTGTCTCTCTTTATGAAACCAGATGCATTGATAGGGCCTTCTTGGGCACATGGCCCAGCCTGCAGTTTGTTAATTAGGCGGGCTGTTTTCCCATAATTAGCCTTGGTGATGAAACTCAGGGCGATTAATGGCTGTGGTGGCCGTGGATAAATACAGCTTGTAAATGTGGAGTGTAGATGCAAGCCCTGAATGCTTTTTTAGATGCAAGTTCTGAATGCTTAACAAGTATCTCCTCCATTAATGGAATCCCAATGGTGTTTGTGTGAGAAAACCCTGTGGATGAAAGCGTTTAGAAATGTGGTGAAAAGCATGAAGGTGCCTTGCATGAATGCTATACGTATGAAATCACTTATCTTATTATTTTTACTGTCAATAATCATTACATTCAGTTGCAACCAGGGCACATCAACAGTCTGTTAAACCCAGTTTAAGTGTTGATAATGAGATCATGAATGGTATGCCATCTTGATATCTGTCAGTCAATTCTCATTGAGTCATCCTGATAGCTGTAAACAAAGGCTCAACCCACTACAGATAAAGCCTGACAGACCTTACAGTTTAAACTGAATTTATGTTCCAAGTAACGTAAAGCTCACTTCTTTTGACTTGTCTAATTTATTATTGAGTTCCACAGGAGCTCGCACTCAAACCATAAAAAGTAAAATACCAAGGAGACCAAGCTAGGAAAAACCAAGGAGACCAAGATAGGAAAAACCAAGGAGCCCAAGATAGGAAAAATCAAGGAGCCCAAGATAGGAAAAACCAAGGAGACCAAGATAGGAAAAACCAAGGAGACCAAGATAGGAAAAATCAAGGAGACCAAGATTGGAAAAACTAAGGAGACCAAGATAGGAAAAACCAAGGAGACCAAGATAGGAAAAATCAAGGAGACCAAGATAGGAAAAACCAAGGAGGCCAAGATACAAAAGATTTATGTTAGTTTTATGCCGTGCTCGAAAGACTACAAAAGAAGACATTGCTAAGTGCTGAAAATCTGCTGACCATTTTGTTTAGCACTTTATTGCACTTTGCACTGTCACTTTCTGTGCTAGATGAAATAATTTAAAAATGATTCTGTCTCCCTCATGGCGGGATTAGATAGGGAGATTCTGTCTGCTCGTGTCAGACTACACTCGTATGAATCGGGTCCCATTTTCTTCCCCTAGCCTTGCTTCACAAGTATTTACTGCGGGAACAGCGGGTACAGTTGTGTTATGCCCTGGCTGTTCCATACAGCCAATGTTAGAATTACTCATTCAACTATAAGGAAGATCTTTAAAAAACAAAAAAACATACATGCAAAAGACCACTTGCTGTATAACTGGTGTAAGAGTGATTGTGACCAATTCGGTAAAGAGCATTCTGTAGATCTTGGTAGATCTTGTGAGCACTTGTGAGTGTGGCGTCTATTTAAGGTGCTGAAATGTTATACCTCTGTTTGGAATGATGGCGAGCGCCAGACTGGATCATTACGTGTATTGCGTGATCAGAAGCACCGAAGCACTACTCTATTTAGAATGAATCATAGGGCCTGGCACATTGCACTCTCACGACACATAGAGACACACCATGCCACCACTGGGACTCCGGAGCACAACACTCTGCTGTATATAGGACAGTGGCACTGTAGTAGGAGTTTTAACAGGTAGGACCCTATGGCTGCACACATGGACAGTACACCTTCTGATACAGATGTATGGGGAATGCACAAGTCCTTTAATAACAGTTAAGGTCATTTGAATGGGGAGTAATATGGGATTTAGTGAATCTGTGACATGCATGAATTGCACGACAACTATAATAAAACAATTTCTTTTTTCACAAATAACTATAATAGCAACTATAGTTACAGTATTTAGTTGATTTAGTTTTCCCCAACTAGACAGAGGGAGTTGAGCATCAGGTGTGGGCTCACAGGACACACAAAGCATATCATAATGCATTAGCAGACATTACCTATGAAGGCTTTTTGGCAAGGCAGGTCTTAGATGCTCTCCTCAAACAAGTTTTCGCAATGCACTTGGCAAACGTAACCAGTACTTAGTTGAGACGCGTCATGAAGGCTAAACCGATGTCAACCAGAGATTAAGAGCTGAGATGTGTAGCCTAGCCAAAGCAATCATCTACTGTATGCTTGCTTGTCTTTTGTTTCTATAACGAGAGACTTGCATCACTGATAGTAACTGTTGCTGGGCTTATACACTATATACTTAGGCATCAGCTGAGAGACATGGCATAAGTGGCTGGGAAATATCAACAGAAATACACAGTGTATCAGTAACAGCACTGTGACACACACGCCTGTTGGGGCATGTTATGTCTGCATCTAGGTGCAAAGGAATCAGATATTCATACATTACCTTTTCTGCCACATTTCTACAGTCATTTGTTGCAGTAGAACTTTTAAGAATCACTCTTTTTTGTTAAACTAGTTTGAGACGAGTATCTGTATCTTCTCAGACATTACCATGTTTGCAGTGACATTTAAAGCCACGTGTTGATTTATTTCACAGGTAGTGGTGAAACTGTTTTGAACCCTTCCTCACAATGGATGACTATGAACACAGTGTGCAAGTGTGACTGGGACTCCTTCTTCAAGGAGTGCAAGGAGTGTGACCCCCCCCCCCCCCACGCTGGCTGGAATGGACTCTGGCATGAGTGACATCGATGATGCGGGAGGGTCCACTTTCTTAAACAGGGGTCTGCAAGCTGATCTCGTCAGGTGATTTGGAGGCTGTCTGCCGCATCAACCTCTGCAAGTAGGGCGTGGGTAGCTTGGGTAATGTCCTCTTGGGCAGCGAGGATGAGGATGTGCACCTGGAGTTCATCAATAGCTTCTTTGAGAGGCTTAAAAGTATCCCGGAGGCTGAACAGCTTGTTGAGCACAGCCAAGCAACAGTGGGAAAAAGCAGTAAGGCAGCACAGGGGGAGGTGTGTGGTGATGGGCCACGAGCCAACGGCAGCGCTCTGCCAATAAACAACCCAGAGTTCAACTCCCTGTCTGCCCGCAGTGAGACAGCAACTAGCAAGGAAACCACAGAGCCAGACAATGCCAACTCCAACACAATAGATAAACCTGACTCCAAGATGGCCCATGAGCTTCCAGCCAATAATGCCTCTGAAGGCGAGACCAATCCCAACGTAGAGTTGGTCATCAGACAGGAGGATTGGTTGTTGATGCCAGCAAATTAAGCAGGGAGGCAGAAGAGTATCAAACCTGTGACTTACTCAAAGCGGTATTGGAAATGACTCATTAAAGACACCTGCCTCTGGGAAAGAGCTGAACTCAGAATTAGCTGTATGTAAAAGTGTGGGTGACAAGAGGCACAGAGATGCCATGTTAGATCAACCATCAAGATCTGACTCATGCCTTAACCCTGATAGGGATTCATCTACAAACCTTGAAGTGATGCCACACGATAAATAAACAGAAGGCAAATAAATACCTTGCTGTCACATCACCAAAGAAAGATCCAGCAGAGCGTAAGGAGCCCGGATCAGACTCCATCATCCACCATTAAAAAGAAGAGGACGGGGAAAGAAAACAATTCAGTATTGAGCCAAGGATACGAGAGGCCGTTCTTAGCCAATCAGAGTAACTCTGAGGAGGAGAGATGTGTACGGGGAACAGAAATGGATGCTCATGTACAACTATCAAGAGATTACACTGCAGTTTATGTGAATGAGGCAGGATGTGAGCATATCAAATCCTCAGCTCACCAAACAAAGAATTCTCAGTGTCCACCTGCCTATGCAAAAATACTCCAAGGGAAAGCCAGAAACAATGTGCCACCTGGGCCGACTGTAGTGGAAAAACTTTCGACTCCCCATCTAAGAGACTGTCAAAGTCAAAAGTTAACTGAGAAGAATGAGTTGATTGAGAGGCCAGTAAAAGCAGAGTCTCCTGGTACGTAGGCTAACTGTAAACCAGCCGAGTCTAGCTTGCCTTCAAACAGTGAATGCACTGATAGATCAAGCTCCCCACCAGGTCGAGCTGTTGACAGCGGTTTGTCAACATCTAATTAGCCAAGCAGTGCATTACAATTACAGGCATCGGCTGAATTGAAAGATTGTCCTGGGTTGCCTGTGTCGACAACCACCTGTGCTTCCAGTCACAGAGGAAGGAAAGTTTGGCACAGACGACATCGCAAAATATCAATGAGAATCTGGGCCACAACTGCAAGAAATGAATGGAGAGACTCAAAACAGGGAGGCCTCATCTGAGGTGCTCAACACACCAGAATCAACAGAACATAACACTGCAGTCAGAAAGAACACATCACTAATTTCGAAAGCTAGCAGTGGTGTTATTTTTTCAGGCACATTGCAGCTGCCTCATGAAAACATAGTCCTCGAGATACACCAAGAAAATAAAAATGGACTCATCCCAACTCTTGCTAGGAGTATTCCATCAGAAGTGGTCAGCACTAACACAACACTAAAACCTACCAAGACACCATTACCTAGCAAAATCAATAGTTTCTATGAGCCCTGAATTCCAGATGCAACTATTGAGAGGCCTGTATTAGCAATGTCTCTTTTTGCTGTCTCTTGTTACTCTGTTACTCCAAAGAGTGCTATGAACTCTCATCAGGCAGACAAAAAAAAAGATATTCGCATAAGTAATAATGTCACAGAAAAATACCATGATTCATCTATTCCAGAGAATGTTCCATTAACTCAATCAAATATTTAATTGAATGAACTTTCTAATTCCCCTGATTTGCAAATGGAAGGCAGCCAAATTGTTGTGGTTCAGTCTAACAAAGCATCTATGATAGCACTACCAGATAAACTTATCAATGACTTAGACTTGCCAGCAAAGTTATTTGAAAGCTCTGGTACACCTGATATTCAAACTAGCTTCAATGGTCAAGAGGCAAAACGTTCCCTAAGCAAAGCAACGAGGGAGAGGGAAAGTTGATACAGAGGTCAAAACAGAGGACACTGTTACCACAATCAAAACAGCAGAGTGTGAGGAAATTGAAAAAGCACCTGACGAAACACGTCCTGTGTACTCCATCTCCACTTTTTGGAATGAGATGGAGAAGCTGACCATTAATGACATTTTGCGACTGCGTATGGTCAGTGATGCCCAACAGTCCACTGTTCTCCCCCAGCCACCGGAGAGCGAGGCGGCCGACACCTCCGATGCCACAGACTCAGGCTACTTCACGCACCTGGACGACTCTGAACCTGACCGCTCCAGTGGCGACATCTTGATGAAGAATTCGCTCAAAATCGGATAAAGTGCTGATAATCCAAGCACTGATCCTATCACAAGCGATGAGTCACCCAACTCTATTGGTATCTTGTGGGAAAGCGAGCCAGACACAGTTACAGTGGGGAAAAAAAGTATTTAGTCAGCCACCAATTGTGCAAGTTCTCCCACTTAAAAAGATGAGAGACGCCTGTAATTTTCATCATAGGTACACGTCAACTATGACAGACAAAATGAGGAAAAAAAATCCAGAAAATCACATTGTAGGATTTTTAATGAATTTATTTGCAAATTATGGTGGAAAATAAGTATTTGGTCAATAACAAAAGTTTCTCAATACTTTTATATACCCTTTGTTGGCAATGACACAGGTCAAACTTTTTCTGTAAGTCTTCACAAGGTTTTCACACACTGTTGCTGGTATTTTGGCCCATTCCTCCATGCAGATCTCCTCTAGAGCAGTGATGTTTTGGGGCTGTCGCTGGGCAACACGGACTTTCAACTCCCTCCAAATATTTTCTATGGGGTTGAGATCTGGAGACTGGCTAGGCCACTCCAGGACCTTGAAATGCTTCTTACGAAGCCACTCCTTCGTTGCCCGGGCGGTGTGTTTGGGATCATTGTCATGCTGAAAGACCCAGCCACGTTTCATCTTCAATGCCCTTGCTGATGGAAGGAGGTTTTCACTCAAAATCTCACGATACATGGCCCCATTCATTCTTTCCTTTACACGGATCAGTCGTCCTGGTCCCTTTGCAGAAAAACAGCCCCAAAGCATGATGTTTCCAACCCCATGCTTCACAGTAGGTATGGTGTTCTTTGGATGCAACTCAGCATTCTTTGTCCTCCAAACACGACGAGTTGAGTTTGTACCAAAAAGTTCTATTTTGGTTTCATCTGACCATATGACATTCTCCCAATCCTCTTCTGGATCATCCAAATGCACTCTAGCAAACTTCAGACGGGCCTGGACATGTACTGGCTTAAGCAGGGGGACACGTCTGGCACTGCAGGATTTGAGTCCCTGGCGGCGTAGTGTGTTACTGATGGTAGGCTTTGTTACTTTGGTCCCAGCTCTCTGCAGGTCATTCACCAGGTCCCCCCGTGTGGTTCTGGGATTTTTGCTTCTTGTTCTTGTGATCATTTTGACCCCACAGGGTGAGATCTTGCGTGGAGCCCCAGATCGAGGGAGATTATCAGTGGTCTTGTATGTCTTCCATTTCCTAATAATTGCTCCCACAGTTGATTTCTTCAAACCAAGCTGCTTACCTATTGCAGATTCAGTCTTCCCAGCCTGGTGCAGGTCTACAATTTTGTTTCTGGTGTCCTTTGACAGCTCTTTGGTCTTGGCCATAGTGGAGTTTGGAGTGTGACTGTTTGAGGTTGTGGACAGGTGTCTTTTATACTGATAACAAGTTCAAACAGGTGCCATTAATACAGGTAACGAGTGGAGGACAGAGGAGCCTCTGAAAGAAGAAGTTACAGGTCTGTGAGAGACAGAAATCTTGCTTGTTTGTAGGTGACCAAATACTTATTTTCCACCATAATTTGCAAATAAATTCATAAAAAAATCCTACAATGTGATTTTCTGGATTTTTTTTTCTCAATTTGTCTGTCATAGTTGACGTGTACCTATGATGAAAATTACAGACCTCTCTCATCTTTTTAAGTGGGAGAACTTGCACAATTGGTGGCTGACTAAATACTTTTTTTTCCCACTGTAGCGTTGGGGCTGGTATATACCCTGAAAATGTAGCAATACTAAGTTCCGCAAGTGACATCCCCGAACCATTATTTTTATGCAGTGCCCGACAGACAAGGAAGATAACCAAGTCCGCAGTCTGATCCGGGTGTTCACACAGTTTAACCATAAGTCGAGACCCAAGGTGCCATAGTGGATCCGGACATATGTGAGGACTTTTGCACAGACTACGGTCTGAGTGAGAATTTCTTCTGAAAAAAATATTTCTCCCTAAGGAAAGTCCTGCTTACAGATTCCACCGGCAAAAGGCCGAGATCCAACTCCTGGTCTCTGGTTCCTGTGGACCAGAGCAAGCGGTCATTTCTCAGAACCATCAGACCCATATACGCGCTGGGCATCCAATACAAGCCTTTTCCTGATCGACTGCTGCACAACCTAGAGGGCAGGATTTTCAAACAGCAAGCAGAGCAGAAGAGGATATATCAGGATCTGCAGATGGCTGTTGCTAATCCCTGTACGGCCATTTTCTTAATTATTATCTCGTACACATTATTATGCACATTCACCACTGAGAGTCTTCAAGTAGGCTATTTCAATTTTTTAAAGGCATAACTCAACTGGGAAAACTGACATATTTTATTGACGTCATGGCCAAGTTGTATACAGTTTTTTCCCCCCATTCTTTAGACATCTTTAAGTGTATGAAATCTGGTTACCTAATGTCAACCAGAAAACCAGGTAAAAAAACAGAAATTACGTCTTCATGAAGTACCATGCCAAATTTTGCCAGCTGGGAAGAGGTAACAAAATCTAAAGAGGATAACAATTTCATATCAGGTAAAACCTTAGCCATAATCCATTACTCACTATCGTGATCTTAGTGGACCCCCTAAGTCCAGCTGTCAATGAACACTGAGCAGACACACATAGTAGTGCTAAGCCAAGTGCCAAAGGAATGGTTGCACGTGATAACCCGTCTTCACTAACAGTGGGTGACCTCTCAAGCTGCCCTGAGGCAAGCGTTATTCACGTTCCCCTTCGAAGAGCAAGTAGAAATAGGCCCACATTGGTGTCCGAAGGAGCACCACCCCATCCAGCAAGCAGCTCTAAGAAGCAACAGTGACCTTGTCCATACATGTGATTAGCACAGTGTCTTTAACATGCTGATCAACAATGATTCAAATAGGCCTGAAAGGGAAGTTAAAAACCAAATACCTCAATAAGCAAAAAAACATATCCACAAACTGTCTTTAGGAGTCGACTACAGCCAAAGTAATTGGAAAAAATCATGTTAGGTTGTGTATGGAGTGGAACATCGCTTTAAGCTTCACAGAAATACCTGGGTGCCACAGAGCTGTCTCAGTGTCACACCGTAGATTGTTTGGAATCAGCCCAGGTAGCTGGAACCTGATCAGGGCACAGTGTGAAAGAACAGGAAGTCCCATACCTAATGTAATGAGAACTGCTCTGTCTGTAGCTGTTATGGGAGGGTGAGTTCAATGATAATCACACGGATCTCCCCCTGGACATATTCCCTGTGTGAACTTGTATTATCACAGTAAGCCCATTTCCTCTGTGCTCTGTGGGGACAATTGTACTCCTAAGACAGCTGAACAATGCCATATCCCCAATGATAATTCAGACCAGTTTCACCATTGTTTACCATTTCATAGGTCCTCTCGATCTATCTACAGTGAGGGAAAAAAGTATTTAGTCAGCCACCAATTGTGCAAGTTCTCCCACTTAAAAAGATGAGAGAGGCCTGTAATTTTCATCATAGGTACATGTCAATTATGACAGACAAAATGAGAAAATTCTTTCCAGAAAATCACATTGTAGGATTTTTTATGAATTTATTGTCACGCCCTGGCTCTGGGGACTATGTTATGTTGAGCCAGGGTGTGTAAGTCTATGTTTTGTATATCTATGTTGGCCTGAGTGACTCCCAATCAGAGGCAACGAGTGTCAGCTGGTTGTCTCTGATTGGGAGCCATATTTAACTATCGGTCTTTTCACTTTGTGTTGTGGTTTCTTGTGTTCCTTTTGGTTTGTGTATCAAAGGACTTCACGTTTCGTTCTTTGTTTTGATCGTGTGATCTAGTAATAAATATAAATATGTTCACCCGCAACGCTGCGCCTTGGTCCTCTCTGTTCGACGATCGTGACAGAAGAAACCACCTTAACCAGACCAAGCAGCGTGTTCAGGAGCCATCGCTGGCAGATCTCCGTGGCAACCTCGACTGGATCAAGCAGCGGGACGAGGAGAGAGGATGGACGTGGGAGGAGATGATTGCGAGTCTGGCAAGAGGGAGGAGAGACCCCCAGGAAATTTTTAGGGGGGGGCTCACGACGTCGGGCCAGCAGGTGTACGGGTTAGAGCGGTGCAAAGCGTTGGCAGAGAAGGCCGCCAGGTTAGGGGGGCCACTGGGCACAGAGGAGAGGGAAAGTGTGGAGGCACGGCGAGAGGTACTGGGGTGTGTTACCAGTCCGGTCCGGCCCGTTCCTGATCCCTGCGTGGGGCCAGTGGTGTGTGTCCCCAGTACGGTCCGGCCTGTTCCTGCCATTCCCACCAAGTCAGTGGTGCGCGTCGTCAGCCCAGCCCGGCCTGTTCCTGCCATTCCCACCAAGTCAGTGGTGCGCGTCGTCAGCCCGGCCCGGCCTGTTCCTGCCATTCCCACCAAGTCAGTGGTGCGCGTCGTCAGCCCAGCCCGGCCTGTTCCTGCCATTCCCACCAAGTCAGTGGTGTGCGTCGACAGCCCAGCCCGGCCTGTCCCTGCTCCACGCACAAAGCCTACGGTGTGCGTCGACAGCCCAGCCCGGCCCGTTCCTGCTCTCCGCACCAAGTCTGTGGTGCGTGTCGACAGCCCAGCCCGGCCTGTCCCTGCTCCACGCACAAAGCCTACGGTGTGCGTCGACAGCCCAGCCCGGCCCGTTCCTGCTCTCCGCACCAAGTCTGTGGTGCGCGTCGCCAGCCCAGTCCGGCCCATCCAAGCTTCCCGCACCAAGCCAGTGGTGTGCGTCGTCAGCCATGTCCGGCCCGTTCCTGCTCTCCGCACCAAGTCTGTGGTGCGCGTCGCCAGCCTGGTCTGGCCCGTCCAAGCTCCCCGCACCGGGTCAGTGGTGCGCGTCGTCAGCCCGGTCCGGCTCATTCCTGCTCCCCGCACCAAGTCAAGGGTGCGCTTCGTCAGCCCGGTCCGGCCCGTTCCTCCTCCACGCATCAAGCCAGGGGTGTGCATCGTCAGTCCAGCACAACCCGTGCCTGGGTCATGTCCGGAGCCGGATCCGCCGCCGAGGCGGAGTGCCCACCCGGTCCCTCCCCTGTTGTGGTTGGTTGGCGCGGCCGGAGTCCGCGCCTTTGGGGGGGGGGTACTGTCACGCCCTGGTTCTGGGGACTATGTTATGTTGAGCCAGGGTGTGTAAGTCTATGTTTAATTTTCTATGTTGGTCTGAGTGACTCCCAATCAGAGGCAACGAGTGTCAGCTGGGTGTCTCTGATTGGGAGCCATATTTAACTGCTTGTCTTGCACTTTGTGTTTTGTGGTTTCTTGTTCCTTTTGGTTTGTGTATCAAAGGACTTCACGTTTCGTTCTTTGTTTTGATCGTGTGATCTAGTAATAAATATAAATATGTTCACCCGCAACGCTGCGCCTTGGTCCTCTCGTAGACGAACGTGACAGAAGAAACCACCTCAACTGGACCAAGCAGCGAGTCGATGAGCCATCGCCAGGGAAAGCGCTGGCAGATCTCCGTGGCAGCTTCGACTGGGTCAAGCCCATTGAGGAGCTGAGTGACGAGGGTTGGAGACAGAGGAGCGAGAGGTGGGCGAGAATGATGGAGGCCTGGCCCACGGGGAGGAGAGAACCCCAGGAAATTTTTAGGGGGGGGCTCACGACGTCGGACCAGCAGGAGGCCGCGATAGAGCGGCCCAGTGGGTTGCCGGAGGAGGCCGCCGGGTTACGGGGGCCACTGGTCGAAGAGGGGATGGAGGAAGTAGAGGCACGGCGAGAGGTACTGGCGTGTGTTGCCAGTCCGGTCCGGCCCGTTCCAGTTCCCGGTGTAGGGCCAGTGGTGTGTGTCCCCAGTACAGTCCGGCCCATCCAAGCTCCCCGCACCAAGCCAGTGGTGTGCGTCGTCAGTCCGGCACGGCCCGTGCCTGCTCTCCGCACCAAGTCTATGGTGCGTTTCGTCAGCCCTGTCCGGCCCGTTCCTGCTCTCTGCACCAAGTCTGTGGTGCGCGTCGCCAGCCCAGTCCGGCCCATCCAAGCTCCCCGCACCAGGTCAGTGGTGCGCGTCGCCAGCCCTGTCCGGCCCGTGCCTGCTCTCCGCACCAAGTCTATGGTGCGTTTCTTCAGCCCTGTCCGGCCCGTTCCTGCTCTCCGCACCAAGTCTGTGGTGCGCGTCGCCAGCCCAGTCCGGCCCATCCAAGCTCCCCGCACCAGGTCAGTGGTGCGCGTCGTCAGCCCGGTCCGGCTCATTCCTGCTCCCCGCACCAAGTCAGGGGTGCGCTTCGTCAGCCCGGTCCGGCCCGTTCCTCCTCCACGCATCAAGCCAGGGGTGTGCGTCGTCAGTCCAGCACAACCCGTGCCTGGGTCATGTCCGGAGCCGGATCCGCCGCCGAGGCGGAGTGCCCACCCGGTCCCTCCCCTGTTGTGGTTGTTTGGCGCGGCCGGAGTCCGCGCCTTTGGGGGGGGGTACTGTCACGCCCTGGCTCTGTGGACTATGTTATGTTGAGCCAGGGTGTGTAAGTCTATGTTTTGTATATCTATGTTGGCCTGAGTGACTCCCAATCAGAGGCAACGAGTGTCAGCTGGTTGTCTCTGATTGGGAGCCATATTTAACTATCGGTCTTTTCACTTTGTGTTGTGGTTTCTTGTGTTCCTTTTGGTTTGTGTATCAAAGGACTTCACGTTTCGTTCTTTGTTTTGATCGTGTGATCTAGTAATAAATATAAATATGTTCACCCGCAACGCTGCGCCTTGGTCCTCTCTGTTCGACGATCGTGACATTTATTTGCAAATTATGGTGGAAAATAAGTATTTGGTCAATAACAAAAGTTTCTCAATACTTTGTTATATACCCCTTGTTGGCAATGACACACGTCAAACGTTTTCTGTAAGTCTTCACAAGGTTTTCACACACTGTTGCTGGTAGTTTGGCCCATTCCTCCATGCAGATCTCCTCTAGAGCAGTGATGTTTTGGGGCTGTCGCTGGGCAACACGGACTTTCAACTCCCTCCAAAGATTTTCTATGGGGTTGAGATCTGGAGACTGGCTAGGCCACTCCAGGACCTTGAAATGCTTCTTACGAAGCCACTCCTTCGTTGCCCGGGCGGTGTGTTTGGGATCATTGTCATGCTGAAAGACCCAGCCACGTTTCATCTTCAATGCCCTTGCTGATGGAAGGAGGTTTTCACTCAAAATCTCACGATACATGGCCCCATTCATTATTTCCTTTACACGGATCAGTCGTCCTGGTCCCTTTGCAGAAAAACAGCCCCAAAGCATTAAGTTTCCACCCCCATGCTTCACAGTAGGTATGGTGTTCTTTGGATGCAACTCAGCATTCTTTGTCCTCCAAACACGATGAGTTGAGTTTTTACCAAAAAGTTATATTTTGGTTTCATCTGACCATATGACATTCTCCCAATCCTCTTCTGGATCATCGAAATGCACTAGCAAACTTCAGACGGGCCTGGACATGTACTGGCTTAAGCAGGGGGACACGTCTGGCAATGCAGGATTTGAGTCCCTGGCGGAGTAGTGTGTTACTGATGGTAGGCTTTGTTACTTTGGTCCCAGCTCTCTGCAGGTCATTCACTAGGTCCCCCCGTGTGGTTCTGGGATTTTTGCTCACCGTTCTTGTGATCATTTTGACCCCACGGGGTGAGATCTTGCGTGGAGCCCCAGATCGAGGGAGATTATCAGTGGTCTTGTATGTCTTCCATTTCCTAATAATTGCTCCCACAGTTGATTTCTTCAAACCAAGCTGCTTACCTATTGCAGATTCAGTCTTCCCAGCCTGGTGCAGGTCTACAATTTTGTTTCTGGTGTCCTTTGACAGCTCTTTGGTCTTGACCATAGTGGAGTTTGGAGTGTGACTGTTTGAGGTTGTGGACAGGTGTCTTTTATACTGATAACAAGTTCAAACAGGTGCCATTAATACAGGTAACGAGTGGAGGACAGAGGAGCCTCTTAAAGAAGAAGTTACAGGTCTGTGAGAGCCAGAAATCTTGCTTGTTTGTAGGTGACCAAATACTTATTTTCCACCATAATTTGCAAATAAATTCATTAAAAATCCTACAATGTGATTTTCTGGATTTTTTTTCCTCAATTTGTCTGTCATAGTTGACGTGTACCTATGATGAAAATGACAGGCCTCTCTCATCTTTTTAAGTGGGAGAACTTGCACAATTGGTGGCTGACTAAATACTTTTTTTCCCCAATGTATATTCTTATATTTACGTATCCTCCATAGCTGCTGGAACCGTGCTGACAGTGTGAAAAATATATATTCAAGCCGGCACAGTACGGTACACGTTGGCACAATGATGTGAAAGGTAGAGAATGTTCAACCTTGAAGGGATACATTTTGTTTGACTGTTTACACAGTAACATACAGTCTCCTCTGTAGGATTAGACCCCTCAGTCAGTCAGACGTGTTAAGTCTGCATCACATTCGCCTCCTGGGTGTTGAAGTCAGCTAACCCACAAGCTGGAGATGCCTGTAAGGCTGGTATGTACTGCACATTTGATGAAATTCTATAGACCTGTTGTTTAAAGGCAATGTTATTGATGACTTTTGAAGATTATTATTATGTCTAGTGTATGTAAAATGTTTATGTGAACAATCTATTTGTTCTTCTTAGTTTATTATATGATTACATTATACAACATTTCTCAAACGTTCAATTCAATAAGAAGAAGATGTCATTGGCATTGGCTCGTGAAATTTTTTACCACACAATGTTACACAGTTCTCCTGGCCAACATAAGCGCGCTGTCTGCCATCCGATACCTGCGGAGGAGAGGCAGGGAAAAAGCAACTTGAGAGAAGCCGTTACATCAAACACCCTCCATCTGATACAGAGACTGTGAGTCAGCCTGCACAGCTACGTCACTCCACACCCGCTTTTTCCATGGGAAACTGACAAGGGATACTGAATACTGTATGTTTGGGGCCCTCTGACTGCATTTATCTGACATTTGCCCCCCAGGGTGAAATCTGTGGTGTCCTCTTGTAAAAATGTAAAGGAACAAAATCAATGTTTTGCTTTAACTGAAATGTTTGCATTATGACTTATGATATGATAAGGGCTCATATTGCCCTAATCTTGAAGTTAGACATTCATTTTTTGGTCCATTGCACTCTGTATGATAAAAAGTATTTCTGTATGTATGCCATTTGATTAGTGTTTTGAGGTCAGTTGATGTAATTTGGCTATCAGAAACATACTTCATTTTTTATAGATAAATACAGCCCATAACAAGGGTTTAAATGACCAAATCCTTGGCCAAGAGATGTATGATATTTACTAGTGTACAAAAAGAGAAATGCAGAGATATTTCTATTTTTAGATGGTACCAGAATGTAGAGAAGAGAGATGAGATGCCAATGGAAAGTGCTCTGAGAGATACACACTATGAATATGTTAAGCCTGTCACATGCTTCCCAGTCGAAACAGATTGTGCATATATTATGACAACATCTTGTGAGGTTTTGGTGTTCGGCAGGTTTTTTTCCAGCTGTTCCTGCACACTATATATTTTTCTTGAGGCAAGTCATAGTTCGGTAACCGAAGTCTATGCCCCTTCGAAGGTGATTGGTCAACAATACTACTCCTAGTAGGAGTAGGAACTATGGACGGGATTCTTCAATTAAGTGTTTGTTGTCATTCAACGAGAGACGACTAGTTTTCATGCACATTTTTTCACTTGAGAAATATTGCACCAAACATCATAGTGAGATGTAAATTTGCGCGACTAAGACCTCCTCTGCAAAAACATCAAAATTAATTACAGATTTCGTGATTTATCTTTAGATTAATTATATTTTGAAGAAGTGTTAGGGCTATGATGTTGCAACAGTGGCTCAAGAGGGACAAACAACAGTAATATTGGCACTTTTTTTCCATTTTTTAAGATATTCGCTTCACCTAGCTGAGTTCTGCTAACCCATGTATGTGGACGCCTTTAGGAGGAGGTCATGAATATGGCGTGTACATTTTGGGATTCAATTACAAATATTTGAAATTAAAGGTACTGAGGGAATATAATTGAGAATAATTTAGATGTTTGAATATTCAATAGTATTCTTCTATATGAATTCATCACATACCCTCTTGCAAAACAAATGTGTATAAAACGCTCATTCAAACCAGATTTCTGTAGCTAGGAGACTAGTACTGTGCCAGTGTATATTTTTATACATTATGAAGGCAGTTCCATTTTGATTACCTCTGTTAGATGACACTGTCATTGTATGGTTTGTTCTGCGGATGTATTACGTTTCAAATATATTTCTGAGTTGGCGGCTGTCTGTCTCCTGTATTCTGTCCGATTTTCTACACCAGAGGGCAATATAGTATAATGTATAGACTACCTTCAAAATAAAATCAATACTACCAGATTATAAACCACTATGAAGTTTAAACAACACTTAAAAAGTGCAATCCCAAACAACACACAGAACACCTTTAACTCCCTCTGTAGTTTCTGTGCACAAAATACATTTGGTAATTTGCAACAGATCAAGTTAAAGTTTTTGTCACGTGCACAAGTACAGTGAAATGCCTTTCTTGCTTGTTCTTTCCCAACAATGCAGTCATCAATGTCAGTAGTACTATAATATTTATTTCAATTCAAGTAGATCAAAAACACATGAGAAATAGAAATAAGAAGAACACGAGAAAGTAAACAAGCTATAAACAGGGTCAGTTCCAGGGTCAGTTCCAGGGTCAGCGCCGATACAATACCATATTTACAATGTGCAGGGATACTGGAGTGGTAGGATAAGATATGTACACTGAACAAAAATATAAAAGCAACATGCAACAATTTCAAAGATTTTACTGAGTTACAGTTCATATATCGAAATCAGTCAATTTAAATAAATTAATTAGGCCCTAATCTATGGATTTCACATGACTGGGAATACAGATATGCATCTGTTGGTCACAGATACCTTAAAAAAAGGTAGGGGGGTGGATCAGAAAACCAGTCAGTATCTGGTGTGACCAGTTGCCTCATGCAGCGCAACACATCTCCTTTGCATTGAGTTGATCAGGCTGTTGATTGTGGCCTGTGGAATGTTGTCCCACTCCTCTTCAATGGCTGTGCGAAGTTGCTTGATATTGGCGGGAACTGGAACACGCTGTCATACACGTCGATCCAGAGCATCCCAGTGGCCATCGAAGGTGAACATTTGGCCACTGAAGTCGGTTATGACGCCGAACTGCTGTCAGGTCAAGACCCTGGTGAGGACGACGAGCACGCAGATGAGCTTCCCTGAGGCAGTTTCTGACAGTTTGTGCAGAAATTCTTAGGTTGTGCAAACCCAATTTCATCAGCTGTCAAGGTGGCGTCTCAGACGATCCCGCAGGTGAAGAAGCCGGATGTGGAGGTCCTGGGCTGGCGTGGTTACACATGGTCTGGGGTTGTGAGGCCGGTTGGACGTACTGTCAAATTCTCTAAAACGATGTTGAAGGCGGTTTATGGTAGAGAAATTAACATTAAATTATCTGGCAACAGCTCTGGTGGACATTCCTGCAGTCAGCAATGCAATTGCATGATCCCTCAGAACTTGAGACATCTGTGGAATTGTGTTGTGTGACAGAACTGCACATTTTAGCATGGCCTTTTATTGTCCCCAGCACAAGGGGCACCTGTGTAATGATCATACTGTTGAATCAGCTTCTTGAAATGCCAAACCTGTCAGGTGGATGGATTATCTTGGCAAAGGAGAAATGCTCACTAACAGGGATGTAAACAAATTTGTGCACAAACTTTGAGAGAATTTCTGGGATATTTTATGTTGCATTTATATTTTTGTTCAGTATAGTTGTTACAACTGACCATGTGTTACTTTGTTCAACATTCTCCCCTACTAATTAAAACACAGTCAATAAACAACACTAAACCCAACATTAAATGTCATACTGGCCGATTTGTGTGTGTTATGATCAATATTGGTTGAAATGTTGAACATATGAATTCTGACGTTAAGGTAACAATCCTGACTTTGTATTTCAGCCCAACTGCAGTGTATATTGGTAAGGTGACTAGGCATCAGGATGTATGATACACAGTGTAGCAGTAGCGTATATGATGATTGTGAGTGTGTGTGTGTGTGTGTGTGTAGTCAGTATAAATGTGTGTGTGTGTTATGTGTGTGTGTATTGGAGTGTGAGTGTGTAGAGTGTGCGTAGATTGGCACACCATAAAGCGTGATTTCATTTCCAATACAGTTCAGTTTTTCACCAGCAGACAGCGAGGTTGAGCCATGACAGAGAACGGGAGGAGCATCACAGATTTAAGATCCTGGGTGAAATAACACGTCTACTGATATGTGCTCTTTTTGTATTTATTTTATTTTATTTTATTTTATGAAAAAGAGCCTGACTAATACACATTTCTTGAAATGGCTGTACTGCATTCCTCAGTACGGTTGAAAATATCAGATTTGAAGTCAATCTTACTTATACATCTGATCCATTGTCATATTTTCATTCAAAGGAGCTTGTCTGTTGTACAGTAGTACTCTACTATCAACTTAATTTAATTATCTGACGTTTATTAATGGGCTCCCGAGTGGCACAGTGGTCTAAGGCACTGCATCTCAGTGCTAGAGGCGTCACTACAGACACTGGTTTGATTCTTATTTACAATGACGACCTACCCCGGCCAAACCCGGCCTCAAGTTTTGAGGGAGCGTGCAAATGGCATGCTGACTGCAGGAATATCCTCCAGAGCTGTTGCCAGATATCCATTTCTCTACCATAAGCCGCCGCCAACATCGTTTTAGAGAATTTGCCAGTACGTCCAACTGGCCTCACAACCGCAGACCACGTGTAACCACGCCAGCCCAGGACCTCTACATCTGGCTTCTTCACCTGCAGGACAGCTGGTGAAACTGAGGAGTATTTCTGTCTGTAATAAAGCCCTTTTGTGGGCAAAAACTCATTCTGATAGGCTGGGCCTGGATCCCCAGTGTGCCCTCCCAGGCCCACCCATGGCTGCACCCCTGCGCAGTCATGTAAAATAAATAGATTAGGGCCTAATGAATTTATTTAAATTGACAGCTTTCCTTATATGAACTGTAACTCAGTAAAATTGTTGAAATTGTTGCATGTTGCGTTTATATTTCTGTTCAGTTTACTTACTACTAAACATCACAAAAAATAATCAAAGTATAATAATGCAAATAATATCAATACAAGTTGATATTAAAACCATTTGGCAAGAATAAGAGAAATGTAATGTATTTTTTTATTATAAATAAACACTTCAAACAAAGTAGAAGAAAGAATCGACACGAAGAAGAGCAACATTTTGCAGAGGTAGTAGCACAATGCAGAAAGTCCTTTCAAGCCATCAAAGTTTGCTTTGTGATTTCATAACATTGAATAAATAAGACAGCTGTTGCTATTATTAGGTTTGAGGAATGCTTTTTACAGCTTACAACCAAAGACAAGGTGTTTGATGATAGAATACAATACCTATATCATATATTAATCAAAAAGTTAACACAATAAAAAAACATGGAAACAGGACAGCGTTCAAGAAAATGTTCATAAATAATACAAAAACTCACAAAATGTAAAATATAAAGCCCAACGCAGTGCACAGTAGCCTACATACAGTAGGAAAGAAATACATTTTCAAGCACCCTAGGATAAAAACTATGTACATTTTGCACTTTCATTAATGCTACATTATCAGGCAGTGGTAGGCTGTTTCCTACCTTTTCATACTGTTGTGTGGGGAAATGTTTTTGCCGAATCATGTTTATCTGCGTAAACATACAGTACACCGTAGTGCAGCTTAAATACAAATACCTTACTCTTATCACACCCACATAAAGCATTCTTCTGACTATTGAATATCTAACAAATACATTGTTCATGAGGTTTGTGGATGATATGGGCTGCATCTCATATGGCACCCTATTCCCTTTATAGAGCACGACTTTTAAACGGAGCCCAGTGCACTAAATAGGGAATAGGGTGCCATTTGCGACACAAGCATGATATGCAGTAGTGTGTTTTTTTTTTATGGCTCTCTGATGCGGATCTGTTGTTTGCACACGTCCAGACGAGCGCCGGTCCATTGTTTGGTTTTAGAACCATCTCTGCTGGTTGGTAGCCATGGCACCCAGGCCTCTGGCCCCAAAGTCTAATCCCGTCCGGTGTGGCGAAATTCCAGACACGGGTTGAATCATCCCAGTATTGCAGTCGTACTCCCAAATGTTGTCATAGTCCATTTCCTGGTCATCTGGCTCGGACGGTTCAAGGTACGAGTTGTGATCTGTGGGGTCAAGAGAAACGATTCCCAGGCTTTTAGTTTTATAGCAGTAGAGGAAGAAGCATAGAAGACCTCGCCCAGATTGGGCAACAGTTTTGGACCAGGTCCAATGTATATAACTCTCTCATGGTGTGTGTGAACTGCCTTCTTCGGCCTAACATACAATCATACTGTACTGTAAAACCGGTACTGTGGCATGCCTATACAACATCACCCACGTTCGTCCTCTGTTTTCTCCTAAGAAAGACATACGGCTTGAAATGATCACCTGGAATGTCCTAATATCCGATTATATAGTGGGTTATATTTGGAGATCTTTAAAACTCATCCTGTTTTTATATTAGATAAAAGGACCCATAGATATGTGCTAGAGAGAGTAGGCCAGTTGTGCGCTGTCAATCACAGCTAGTAGTAACACTGTCTGGAACAGTGTTCTCTTACACTGGGTTTCACCCCCATGAGACACCTGCACACATGGCATTTAACGCTAGCCTAAGCTCCATTTCATTGGCACACCTGTGCATTTCCTGCACTTTTCTTTCTGCAGAGATAGCCTGTCTGACTGCATGGTGACAGACACACCCAGTCCAATACTCCAATGTTCTATACTATACAGGCCTATACTGTATGTGTAAATGTGCCCTGTTTTTCTTGGAAGGGGTAAAACTACAGTCTCCCTATGAACAGACTTCTGTGTCATTGAGGTTTTTGAAGTAGATTGTTACCAACTAAGGCTGATTTTAGTGGGATTTAAGTGTGCTAATGACAATGTGACAATATCATAGAGAGGTTTGAAATGGTGAGCGTTCCTTTTTTTGTCAGAAAGAAATGCTAAGTACGTAGTAAGCTAAAGGTAACCAAGTTATTTGTTGTTTCAGTTTTAAAAACATAGCATTTACTATCTGTGTCACAACTTGAAGTGTATCCTTTTCTGGTCCTAACTGCACAAGGTGAAGAATGTTGTTCCATTGTGATAGTGCAAGTTTACATGAGCATGCTTGACATTCTTACCTGACGAGAAACCATTGAGCATCTGGGTGGTGTTCATAGCAGGCATCATGGGGAAGACCCTCTGTCAAAATATGAGGACACAAAGCTGTTTCACATGTACAAGAACAACACATAGTACTTTAGAGATGATTATTATAGAGTACAACACATGGAGATTATACCTTAGTATTCAAAATAAATATGATTGATCCATAATGCATTAACTATGGCCGGAATTCAAGCCTTACAGCGCTGCCGACAATGTGCCTTTTAAAGGCAATGTTGTTGCGTTTGCGGAGATTGCATTCAAGGTAAAGGCTGCAGATGTCGGCTTAATTCGAGAGCTTGGGAATATAAGGTTAAATCTGCAAAAAGTTTATCCTGAGATAATTGGCTTTAAAGTTCTGAACCCTCATTGGTTTGAATGGTGTCAGCAATTTTTATCTTGTATTCTTTTTTACTTAACAACATGAATTGGGGTATTTAGAGTACTATATACTGTAGGTAGAGAACGTTGAACAGAACAAGGCTATGTCAATAACTACATTTATAGTCCAAATTAGAAATGACCTTTGAATATCAAGCGCTACAATGCTACAACACAGTTCGGATTGAATCCCGGCCACATCCATACCATACATACAAGGTCAAAAAACTATTGCATTTACAACTCCACACTGTAAGACGCATTGGCCCGTATCAATAAAGCGTCTCAGAGTAGGAGTGATCTAGGATCAGCATTCACACTTTGTGAATGTGAGCCATTGAGTTTCAGTTTCTCACCTCCTCTTGCACTGCTTTGGGTGCAGGCAGCAGCCTCAGTCTGGAGACGGCCTCAGCTCTCTGGTTTGGCCCCTGAGGGCCCTCCATCTCCAGCCCCTGGCCCTGGATGAGTACGAGGCTCCTCCGGCAGCGCTTGCCCAGGGGAGGGGTGCGCAGCTGGAAGGAGGAGGGTAGGAGATGAGGGTCCTGCTGCTGCTGTGGTGGTCCTCTCACACACTGCTGTTGAGGGTCAGAGGAAGAGAGCATTAGAAAGCCATCAGGTCCAATTGGTAGTAGTAGATGTAAAGTACTTTGTGATAAATGTTAAAAGGGCTAAATAGATTTGATAGTTTGAAAGGAATTGAACATTATGAGCATTTATCAATTGGATGAAGTATCTGTCCAATGACAGTCATGCATATGAAGCCACAGAAGAGAAATGAACCTCAACCTTGCTAATGTGTCAATATGGAGACTAGAGTCTAGACACACCTAGACAGAAAACTTCAATTCACGGGTGCGCTTGTGGTGTAAACTGAGACGTATGAATCCAGTATCATGACCCACTTACCGCTGGCTGCTGCCTGACCCGGCTCTCCTCCTCCTGGGCATAGATGTCGGGGGTGCAGGGCTCGTCATACAGGGGTGACAGGGGCTGCCGGGGGGCGCACATATCCGAGTGCCGCTGGGGGGCGGAAAGAGACGTGTACTTCAGGGACGTCTGCGGGGTGCTCCAGCTGTTGGACTGATCACACAGGGATTTCCAGGGGTCATCATTATTATTACGCCACTCACAGTCAGTCTTTGCTCTCAGCACAGTACATGAATGGCCATTTAAGCTGCACTTAGTGCTGGGATTTGGGGTAGGGTTACCGAGCGGAGAGATGGGGCTAATCTCAGACATGATCTACAGAGGGGTGGGGGGGAGTTGGGGGGTGTAGTCTACTAGCGTGACAACTGTCCTAGTTAGTGTGCAGTGTGTGAATCGTGGAGTGTATGCCGCTAGCCTGCTACACTGATCTGTCTTTAGTGGTGGGGGTGGGGGGGGGGTCTGTCTGACTTAGTTTAGGAACCCACTGACAACTGAAGGTTACGGAAAGTTGTTTCCTGTCCAGCACTTATGGGGTAATATCTCCCCTGAGACATATCAACTGAATTAAGCTGGAGAGGTACTGTAACAAATCGTTTTACACCGCAGGCAACTATCCTCCTACTCCTTTAACTGACAGCCCTGTTGTTTTGTGGTAGGCTGTTTCAGATCTAGCACACATGACATACAGCAAAGCAAAGTCCCAGAGGGAATATTCCATTATCAAGTTAGGCACCAGACAGAAGTTAGTACCTTGACGAGAGGGGCCTTCTCCAGACGCTGTTGGGTGCTGGCACGGTCACAGTGCAGGCCTGAGTAGGGCATGTTGTACACCGGCCCCTCAGGGGTGAGGTAGGAGCAATGCTGTGGGGAGGAGTAGCGCAGCGACAAAGGTCGGAGGTCGCGCTCAGGCCTGGTGTGGGACGACACACTGTTGCTGCGGCTTCCCAGTCCGGCCGTCTCGGTGGACGTGGGCCGACTGGAGATGTACTGTAAGGACACACAGACAGAGGGCAAAGGTCAAGTATGCTCAGTGACATCACAACTAACCGGGGTGATACAAATTAACACAAAGGGGTGGTGTCCCGGACCCAGACTAAGCCTCGTCCTGAACTAAAACGCACCAAGATATTCTCCATTGAGCATGCTTTTTAGTCCAGGGCTTAATTTGGATCCGGGAAATCGTCCCAAAGAGTGGTGTTCAAACAAATCTGGAATCTGGCGAACCTGATATGATGCTATTGTTCCTATACCCGCCCTGAAAAGTAAAGTTGTATTCCTGCTTTGCTTGAATAGCACCCAAAGTCTAGCTGATGTTATTTGTTGCCAAAGTGTAAGCAAGGAAAGTTTAAGGTTTCAATCATCTTAATTGTTACCGAGGAGGTGCATTTCAGTAGCTAAAAGTAGGCCACACACACCAAGAACAAAATGTTTTCCCACTATAAGCTAATTGGATGAGCGACCAGTCTGCAGGGTCCTTCGCTCTGTAAGGAGTCCGCTCAAGGTCTTGATAGCGTACGGCACTTCTGTTGATTCTTAAGGTCTCTCTGTTCTCAGGTAACCTGTTGATTGCTAAGGCAGCAAGTACGTGCTCATCATTTTTCATGGTCAAATGTGTCTTTATGGTGTTATATCAGAGGGGGAAAAAACAAACATGTTTTGATCTCGTTTTCGGGAGGCTTCAGGACTTCAGCGTTGGCTTGGGTTGTAACAGGAGAGGCACGGTCTAGACCTTGGTTAATAATTCACCTTTGGAAACGAAAAGTGCTCCTACTGCTCTGCCCAACTCCACCAAAACAAACAAGCTCTTTCATGATAGAGTCCTGTGGACATCAGATACATGCTTTATACCAGCTACGTAAATACCCCCACCACAGAGCAGAGCCTTACAACACCACACGTCGTAGCGTAAAAGTAAATAAATTAACTTTACGTGGGCTAGTTCACATACCAGTAGTACACACTCAGATTCACTCTAGTTTCTTAGTAGAAAGCAGACCTCGGTCAAATACATGTCAAATACTTTCAAACACTGTTTTTGAGGTGCACTTCATTGAGCTTAGAGTTTGCATTTTCATGTTCATTTAATAGAGTTTTATTTAGCTAATTGTGGGCTGCTGTCTGTAATTTTTGCCTAATATCTCTCTAGGAGCTGATCCGTCGTCAGGATTGTGGAATAAATCGAATGTTAAGGTAAGATTTGAATGGAGAAAGCTGATCCAAGAGCAGCGCTGCCTTTCTTTTGATCCTATCAGTATTGACACATGCTCCAATGACACACTTGTGAACGCTCTCTCTACGTGGTGTTTTGGGAAGCATGTGACATCTCCGGCCGTTATAGGAACGATGCATCGTTAAAACACTCTTAAGTTCCATCGCTATCGGGAAACCAGGCCCTGGACAACCTAAACCAATCGCAGATTGAGTATCTGAATGTATTTGACATATGTATTTCATCCAGGTCTGGTAGAAAGTGTTCAAATGCAAACTTACACATAGGGGTTCTGTGTACCCTGGGGACAGAGGGTTGTCCTCGTGTCTGGGGGGGAACTGGAGGTGGTGGGATCCAGACCCTGACCCCTGTCCTCTGTGGGACTGGCCCAGCCTCAGAGACTCACTCCGACCCTGGCTGTTCCGACCCTGGCTCTGGCTGTTCCGACTCCACCTGTCAAACTCTGGAGCCTAGTTGGAACAATACAACACGACGCGTTAACAAATGAAACCAATCAAACGGACAGTCGGACACAGTTAAAACTGAGGTGAAATGTAGTTTGAGTTGTACATGAATGGATCATAAATAAGACAAAAACGGCTTTCACCAAACCAAAACAAGGTAACTTAGAATGTGTAAATGAATGCAAGATGCATAGCGTTGATATGGTAATAGCCTCCAATATAATGCTGTCCATAGGGGTTCCAATAGAATAGAAGGAGGCTATAGTCAAATCAGGGCTACCAAACACATTGCTGTTCTCGGATCAGTTCTCCAACTCTTCTTGTTCTAATCTAGGACGGTCCTGAGCTAACGGGGGGGGGGGTGGGTCTCACCTCTCTCGGCGTGGGGGTGTAGATTATGTCATAAACGGGGGGCGGGGGGCTGAGCACGGGGACATCAGAGGCTTTAAAGTACTGGATCCAGTCGCAGAACTCCCTCTTATCAAGACAGGACACCACGATAGGGTTTATCAGCTTGCCTGGGAAAGCAGAGCCAGTTAATGGATTCAGTCACTCATTGGAGTGTGCATGAGGCAATTTGCACTTAAGTCAACTTAATTTGTAATTTAGATTTTAAAATGAGTATAGCTCAGCGGTCAAGTTACCTTCGATCATGAAGGTGTTGGGCTTGACGTCCTGGCAGGGTGTGGTCACACTGATCATGTTGAGTGGAAGTTTCCCCTGCGATCACACACACACACAAACACACACACACTGTTACACACACTTCTGACACACAGACAGATCAGAGGGAGACGATTGCAAACATGACAAAGTATGTCCTTGAGCGTAATCAAGGTGTCATAGGCTATGAGTTACTCATACGAGCTAGAGGTGAAACAAGGGTCAGAGCAGTACATCTACTGTATGGTAAATATCTATACTGTAGCTAAGAGCAAGCCTGAGTTTCAGTCTGTTTATGATTTCATGCCAACTCCTTGTCACTCATTGGCATGACATGATGGCACAAACAGACCTGGGACCAGGCTAGCTAAGAGTCTATCCATGGTTCAACGGGACGTTTTTAAAAGTACCTTATAGAACAGGCCGTGGCACTCTTCTGATAGGATGATCAGAGTGGTGGGGTACATCACCAGCAGTCTGTCACTCTGCTCCTGTAGTGGACACAATATCAACAATCAACTCTCACTGCATTCAATTGCTAATTCAATATACATTCATTCGTACCTCGCAATGTACAGTATCTTGCCACGGCGCGGCTGTTTCTTTCTCAGGCTGATACAGAGAGACTCATCCGTGCCTTCATTACAAGCAGGCTTTACTACTGTAATGTTCTCCTGTCTGGTCTACCCAAGAAAGCCATTGGTCAACTGCAAAACATACAGAATGCTGCAGCACGGGTCCTGACCAAGACCAGACGGAGAGCACACATTACACCGGTTTTAAGATCTCTGCCTGTGAGTTTTAGAAATAATTATAAGATTCTTCTATTGGTTTTTAAATCAATCCACGATTGTGCACCCCAATACATGATACATACTTTTAATTTATGTACCCAGTAGGTCCCTCAGGTCCTCTGGCACTGGCCTTTTAACTATCCCATAGCCTAGGACCAAGAGGCATGGAGAGGCAGCCTTTAGTTATTATGCCCCCAGCCTCTGGAATAGCCTGCCAGAGAACCTGAGGGGGGCCAAAACTGTGGACATATTTAAAAGAGATCTTAAAACACAACTTTTTAGCTTTGCTTTTCCTATGGGTGCTTTTTAGTCATTCAGTTTTTGTTATTCTTTAGTTTTTTAGTGTAATAAATATTTCAGTTTTTATTTTAATCGTTTTTTATTCGTTTTTTCCTGTGAAGCACACTGCTTTGCATTCAATGTCTGAAATGTGCTGTATAGATGAAGCTTGAATTGATTTGATTTGATTTACCTTGTATCTTGTGTTCAGTGTAAGATTAAGTGTCATGTCTTAGAGCTAATTTATGTGTGTTCACGTCAGATGCTGTGTTGCTGTTACACAATTCTACTGGGCTTTCTGTGTCAAATATAGAAGGCCTTAGATTGAAACAGTAGCTAAATGCAAGTGGGACGTTATCTCCCCGACCGTGTGTGTGTGTGTGTGTGTGTGTGTGTGTGTGTGCCTGACAGACACCTGACATTCCAGCTGTGAGGTGAGTCAAGTTGTTGCTTGAGCCAAGCAACTGCCTTTCACACACCCAGTTTACGAGCCCACAAACTACCCTCTCAGAGACTTCAACCGGCCTACCGCTATTTCCCACCAAACATTAATTTGCAGATTCACCCGCAGGCTACATGAGCAATGTTTTTTGATAGGATTAAGCCTAGTCAGCAATGGGCAGCATGTATTTCTTTGGCTGCTGTATTGTAGGAGTCTCAGTAACTGTAGTAGACTCCTGTACTGCCCATACCCTCCCTCAAGGTATAGAGTCACAGCAGACAACACTGCCCACTCCTTATGTACTGTGTGTGTGTGTGTGTGTGTGGACGTGTTTAACTATACTTGTGGGGACCAGAAGTCCCCATAAGAATAGCAAACAAACAAAAAATGTACTAACGGGGGACATTTTGTTAGTCCCCACAAGGACAAATGCTATTTCTAGGGGGTTTAGGGTTAAGGTTAGAATTAGTGCTAGGGTTAGTATTAGGTTTAGGGTTAGGAGCTAGGGTTAGTTTTAGGGTTAGGAGCTAGGGTTAAGGTTAGGTTTTCGGGGGTAAGGTTACGGGTTTGGGTTAGGGAAAATAGGATTTTGAATGGGACTGAATTGTGTGTCCCCACAAGGTTAGTTATACAAGACTGTGTGTTTGTTTGTGTGTGTGTGTGTGTGTGTGTGTGTATGTGTGTGTGTGTGTGTGTCCCCACAAGGTCAAATGCTATTTCTAGGGGGTTTAGGGTTAAGGTTAGGATTAGTGTTAGAATTAGGTTTAGGGTTATGAGCTAGGGTTAGGTTTAAGGTTAGGTTTTGGGGTTAAGGTTAGGGTTAGGGTTAGGGAAAACAGGATTTTGAATGGGACTGAATTGTGTGTCCCCACAATGTTAGTTATACAATACTGTGTGTGTGAGAGTGAGCTCTGAGGTAAATGCTACTGATTGATGATGTTATTTTTACTCATTCTCAGATCCCTGCTGTCTGTCTGATAACAGGTAGGCGTCATAACTGTCTAGTGGACAATTCTACGAATCATCTTGTTTCGCAAAACAACTTAGCAACAGCCAAGACCATGAATACACTCTCTTATTCATCTTCTTTGTTTATGCGCAAGTGAATTGTGTGCAGTCAGGCTTCTTTGTTTTAGTGATATTTGAATATCAATGTCAAACTTCCAGAGAAGATGTCCAAATGTTCTAACATCAAAGGTTATAATTTTTTACTGACAGGTAATGTTTTAGTGGCTATAATGTTTCAGTGGCAGGTTCTAACGTTTCAATGACTGGTTATAATGTTTCAGTGACAGGTTATAATGTTTCACTGTTAGGTTATAATGTTTCAGTGACAGGTTACAATGTTTTAGTGACAGATTATAATGTCTCACTGTCAGGTTATAATGTTTCAGTGGCAGATTATAATGTTTCAGTTACATGCTATGTTTCAGTGACAGGTTATAATGTTTCAGTGACAAGACAGGTTATAACGTTTCAGTGAGATTATAATGTCTCACTGTCAAGTTATAATGTTTCAGTGAGAGATCATAATGTTTCATTGACAGATTATAATGTGTCAGAGACCGGTTATAATGTTTCAGTAAAGGGTTATAATGTTTCAGTGACAGGCTATAATGTTGCAGTGACAGGTTATAATGTTTCAGTGATGGGTTATAATGTTTCAGTGACAGGTTATAATGTGTCATAGACGCTTCATAAAGCACAAAAAGGTGAATGGTGATGTACCTGGCATGGGAGGTGCTGCAGGTGGACTTTGGTCACGTAGGTGATGGGCCCCAGACTCTCGCGCTGAGAACCCTCCCACTCATAGATGGGCTCTTTACTGATAGAGTTCCTCAGCTCCTCTCTCCCCTCCGTGCTCTCCTTTACTTTCTGCTAGAAACAGGTAGACATGTTTACATTAGCGAGGCATGGAAATAATCAACTTTACCCCACCAGTTACGAAGGATAAACAGGAGTGCCTGGATACAGCCCTTAGCCGTATACCTTAGGCATATACCACGAACCCCCGAGGTGCCTTATTGCTATTATAAACTGGTTACCAACGTAATTACAGCAGTAATATACCACGGCTGTCAGCCAATCAGCACTCAGGGCTCAAACCCCCCAGTTTATAATGGAACATAAATTGTTCCTACACCAGCTGTCACTGCTGGAGGTGATACAGAAGCAATATAGCATGAATGATTTTCTTCTTTGCTTTTCATTCTCAGAACATTGCATTGGTCAAACGTGCTAGTGTAGCTGCCCTTATACTTGTATTTCATCACCTATTTAATGTATGTGATCAGCCTTTTTCACACCTGTGGGTGTAGTCATACTTTTACCTAGTGCAGATGTGAGTCTAGTGATGTGGTTGTGGTGCGGTCACAGTCATGACCACTCCCTGGGATCATGATGCCCTCAGGGAGAGACAGTCATGACTCAACACATCCTGTTGATGGACTACTTTTTGGCCTACTCAACTGGTCTCCTTTCCTTTAATTCCATCTGCACTGCCATACAAATGAAACAGTATTATTTTATTACCTTAACCCTGGTGTAGGTCTCGAGAGGTGCAATGGGGGTGCCCCCGTTGATCTCGATGTGTTCTTTGAGCAGGCCAAACCACAGGTCGATCTCCTCCTGGTTGGAACAGTAGACAATGATAGGGTTCCGGCTGACACCTGCAGGGGTCAAAGATCATGGTGTCAGAGGAGTCAAAAGGGAAGTAGCCGGCCACCAGCGCTTCCAGCTAAAGCCCTACCCTATCTATTTACAAATAGAAAGATCTATGTCATGGCAATGGCAGTTTGTCATCGCCGGTAAATCATGATTTTGGGTTTAACACTATTTCAGAAAGAAATTATGTAAAAAAAATATATATAATAATAAGTAGAGCTCCCTGTCATGTTAATGACACATTCTGTCAAACTTCCACAGAAGATCCCTTGTAGAGTCAAACCAGGTTTGGTTACGTGTGAAACCATTGACATACAGTGCATTCAGAACGTTTTCAGACCCCTTTACTTTTTCTACATTTTATTACATTACAGCCTTATTCTAAAATGAATAAAAACATTTTTTTACAAATCTAATTAATCTACACACAATACCACATAATGACTAAGCAAAAACTGGTTTTTAGATTTTCTTTGCAAAAAAAAACAAAATATTTGAAATATCTCATTTACATAAGTATTCAGACCCTTTACTCAGTACTTTGTTGAAGCACCTTTGGCAGCGATTACAGCCTCGAGTCTTCTTGGGTATGACGCTACAAGTTTGGCACACCTGTATTTGGGGAGTTTCTCCCATTCTTCTCTGCAGATCCTCTCAAGCTCTGTCAAATTGGATGGGTAGCGTCGCTGCACAGCTATTTTCAGGTCTCTCCAGAGATGTTCGATCGGGTTCAAGTCCGGGGTCTGGCTGGGCCACTCCAGGACATTCAGAGACTTGTCCCGAAGCCACTCCTGCGTTGTCTTGGCTGTGTGCTTAGGGTCGTTGTCCTGTTGGAAGGTGAACCTTCGCCCCAGTCTGAGGTCCTGAGAGCTCTGGAGCAGGTTTTCATCAAGGATCTCTCTGTACTTTGCTCCGTTCATCTTTCCCTTGATCCTGACTAGTCTCCCAGTCCCTGCCGCTGAAAAACATCCCCACAGCATGATGCTGCCACCACCATGCTTCACCGTAGGGATGGTGCCAGGTTTCCTCCAGACATGACGCTTGGCATTCAGGCCAAAGAGTTCAATCTTGGTTTCATCAGACCAGAGAATCTTGTTTCCTTTAGGTGCCTTTTGGCAAACTCCAAGCGGGCTGTCATGTGCCTTTTACTGAGGAGTGGCTTCTGTCTGACCACTCTACCATAAAGGCCTGATTGGTGGAGAGCTGCAGAGATGGTTGTCCTTCTGGAAGATTCTCCCATCTCCACAGAGGAACTATGGAGCTCTGTTAGAGTGATCATCGGGTTCTTGGTCACCTCCCTGACCAAGGCCCTTCTCCCCTGACTGCTCAGTTTGGCCGGGCGGCCAGCTCTATTAAGAGTCTTGGTGGTTCCAAACTTCTTCCATTTAAGAATGATGGAGGCCACTGTGTTCTTGGGGTCCTTCAATGCTGCAGAAATGTTTTGGTAGCCTTCCCCAGATCTGTGCCTCGACACAATCCTGTCTCGGAGCTCTACGGACAATTCCTTCGACCTCATGGCTTGGTTTTTACTCTGACATGCACTGTCAACTGTGGGACCTTATATAGACAGGTGTGTGCCTTTCCAAATCATGTCCATTCAATTGAATTCACCACAGGTGGACTGAAATCAAGTTGTAGAAACATCTCAAGGACGTGGTCCTCTGTAGCTCAGCTGGTAGAGCACGGCGCTTGTAACGCCAAGGTAGTGGGTTCGATCCCCGGGACCACCCATACACAAAAAAATGTATGCACGCATGACTGTAAGTTGCTTTAGATAAAAGCGTCTGCTAAATGGCATATTATTATGATCAATGGAAAGAGGATGCACCTGAGCTCAATTTCGAGTCTCATAGCATAGGGTCTGAATACTTAGGTAAATAAGGTACTTCTTTATTTTTATATTTTTTATACATTTTCACACATTTCTAAAAACCTGTTTTCACTTTGTCATTATGGGGTATTGTGTGTAGATTTTTAGAATAAGGCTGTAACGTAAGAAAATGTGGAAAAAGTCAAGAGGTCTGAATACTTTCCGAATGCACTGTACATGTAAACCATTACAGGAGAGAGTGCGTGACCTGCGCCGGTATTCATAAAGCGTCTCAGAGCATGACTGCTGATCTAGGATCAGGTCCCCCATGTCCATGTGATCTTATTCATTATGATCTAAAAGGTAACACTGGTCATAAATCACCACTTCTACTTTGAGACGCTTGACACACATGGCCCCTGCTCTCTTTAGCCTCCTAACAGCTCAGCTAGTGGGGAAGCAAGCCCACCTCCCTCCGGACTGCCGTCCTTCCCAAGAGGAATGTAGCCTACACGACCTGATGTGAAAAGAGCTGGAATCTCCCTTTATCAGCCCCACACATACCAGAGATAACAGGCGAGATAGCCTCTTTCATTCCGTTTTCTCTTGTTATGTCAGTTACAGACAGTCACTCAATTAGCAATGACAGCTAACAATTTTTAGATGAGTAAGTTAGTCTAGCCAGATATCTAAACTTGTAGTAATCATGGCCGAATACCGACCGGGCACGCAGGGCATGTGCCCAGGGGCCCTGACCTCCATGGGGCCCCCATTGATTTTGTTAGTCACTCTCACTCAGATATCATTAACATGACATAAGTCATAGCAACATTTTTTGATTTGCATTAGCTTTAAAACTGAACAGATTTCTCTCCACCCCATGGCCAACTGGGAATAATTGCAGGAAATGTACAGCCTTGTTGTTCTTATTTGTTGATTTTCTTTCTATTCATTCCAGCCTTAATAACACTTAATAACATCAGCATCCACTAATAAGGTGGACAGGTCAGAACATTACATTTTTGTCATTTAGCAGACGCTCTTATCCAGAGCGACTTACAGGAGCAATTAGCTCAAGGGCACACCGACAGATTTTTCACCTAGTCGGCTCGGGGATTAGAACCAGCGACCTTTCGGTTACTGGCACAACGCTCTTAATCACTAAGCTATCTGCCGCCCCACAGCCAGGAACAATAGGCCTAGGTTCATGAAACAACCAGTCAAGCCCTCTTTAGGGCTTTCTCTGTCCTCACTTGACCCGTGGGAAAATGCCTAAATCGAGGGAGTGTCATGATCAAGGGCAAAAATGAAATGTTATTAACTGACTTATGGGAGTGCGAGAGTCCGGACTAGGGGTAACGCTGTCGACTCCGGACTTCTGAGCCCATTCCCCCTAGAGGCCGGGGTGTCCAGCATCCCCTTCCCTTCGCCACTCTTTCCTGGCTGTGTTGCCCTCTCAAATCTATCTCTATTAGAATACAAAAATATGATGAATAAACAGACTTACTCAAGTTATGACTGTTGCGACATGACCCTAACTAAACCTTTGTAGGAACTTCCCGGGACTTTTTAGGGCAGTATTCGGGAGTGTACATGTGCCTATCCGTCATGCTAAGTCAACTCCTGCTAGTGCTTACAGTAAAGCTTACTCATCAGTGTAGCAATGAGGAAGATGTGAAAGATTTTCATTCCGAGATATCGCTGCTGAGCACAATCTCTCACTTGACTCAGAGTTTTGTCATGCTAACTCTACATGTGTTTCCAGTCAAGTGCACTGCAGCCGCCCTCTATGTAAATAAAGGCTCTCTAAGAACAGGGAAAACATCTGAAACATAATACTTTATTAAATCAGTTTGTTCCAAGAAATATCTCTGAATGTGAAGTATGTTTTGGCCATGTGTAACAAAGAAAACGTTTTGATAGTGGAGATCTCTCCCATTTCAATAACATGATCGGAATTATAAAGAAATACAAATAAAGAATAAAGAATGTGTCTACAAAATGATCGTATTAGTGTCATGTTGAATTCAGAGAAACGACGAAGATCCCATTATCAACACATTTCAATCGCAAAAGCGTTCCAATTCTAGCCCGGTTGCCAGGTATGTCTGTACTTTAGCCAACTCCTCTGACCTTCATTGTCATGCCATAGAACAGACGATAGATAAGCTGGCTAAGGCACATCAGATATGGCAACCATGCTCAAATTCAGCATACAACTACTTTCGGTCATCATTATCAAAGACACAGTGAAGTTGATAATAAAGTCCTCGAACATTTGGAGATCAGGGCAAAGCCTCTCAGAGTAGGAGTACTGATCTAGGATCAGTTATGCTTTCAAGATAATAATTAATAAGATTACATGGACAGACCCTAGATCAGCACTCCTACTTTGAGATGTTTGTGGATACGGGCCCTGATCCTAAGGGGACAGTAGGCGTTAAGTAGGGTGCAACTGGAATGTGCTATAGATTATACGTCTTCACAGGGCTGAGAGTGAGCCCTGGCCTTTTCTGCCTCGACAGCTGAGCGAGTTCAGGGGCACCTGTCATATAACAAGTGGGGCCTTCAAGAGAGGCTTGGCCCCCTGACCGAGGGTGGAGAGGGGTGACTCTAGTTAGTCTTAGGGTTGAGGGGAGGTGAAAGGGGTCATGGCACTTTTGAATCACCGGAATGTCGGAACATAGGAAAGGCCACCAGTTGAAAATTACGTGTGGTGTTCGGCTTGGGATCGTGAAAGTGAATGTGGGCTCTGTCTGTCTTTGCAGAGAGAGAAACGAAACCTGAGAACCGTGCGCTTAATGTCAATTTTTTGTACACGTCATCCATTGACAGTAATACAAGATTTCCGTGACAGTCGAGTTATGCGCACGCATCTCAAGTACCTTTGAGACTGGTTGAAAGAAGATGTGCATTTAGTCACTACAATATTGGTGTTTTTATGCAAATGCAAACCAACATTCCTACATTTCTGAACAAGATTTTCTTTGTCTCAATTGTTGAGAATAAAACCTTGCCTACCACACCACTGAGTTACAGAGCAGCTTGAAGTTAGTCTGTGAATCATAAATAACTATAAATAGCCTACAAGACGATCCAATGGCAACTCAACACAGACTGATTGGCTATAGTCAATAGAAAACATAAAACAGATGATTGCAACATCTCAGCACTCCATGCTGTCCCAGTTCTGAATACCACTAGCACATGAAGTGAATCGTTTTTTCCTTTCAAGTAAAAGGACAACTCACCGTTGATCTGGAAGGCAAATTCCTGAGGTTGGCTGTAGTTACAGTTTTGCTGCAGGTTGCAGATGGTTAGCTCTTTCAAAGGAAGAGTCCCCTGCACAGCACAAAAGAAAAGTCAAATCTCAATCGTTCAATCATTCCATTTCATCATACAGTATCATTGTCGGGACCATAGAAATATACTATATAGAAAGGATGGGGTACACAGTTTTTCAAGCGTACTGTACATCATAACTTAATTGTTGCCAAATTTGATATATTTTTTTCATTCTGTGTAAACTTAATGAACAATTCAATTTTCGAACCTATATGAATTGACATCAGTCCCTCCCCTTATGTACATTTAATGACTCCAGGACCGAGATTTTTGTTTCAAAATAGCTTCTGAAGTTTGGTGATTTCATGATCATCATTTGTTTCCGTTTTGGAGATACAAGGTTTTCGTCCGACAGCGACGTAAGAGATTTCAATCGAATTACATTTCTAATTTACGCAAATATCACTATTAGTTGGCGTGAAACTAAAGCCAGCCAGGTACATCTGTGATTGTATTAGGCCTTACATTTGTTATCATTTACTCAATGACTAATATCCACTAATGCTCCAGCAGCTTCCCAGCAGTCACTGAGTCTGGTGCAAGTCTAATGCTAACAAACATAGACACTGTACCACAGTGATTAATGACTGCTCATAGTTTTGCGAGACAGGTTAAGGAGACAGAATCATACACACTATGTTTACCAACACACAAGCTGTTGGCAGGGAACGCGTGTCTAGAGGCACAACAGAGATTGAAAACGATGTAGCCTTTACATTTTAGTCATTTAGCGGATGCTCTTATACAGAGTGACTTACAATCACTGCACTGAAACTACTGTGTCATAGTAAAAATGTCCTCTCCATTTCAGCGATTTGTGATCATCACTCATTCATTTACAACATTTTGACAGCAATCTCTCCATAAATAACATAATGTCAGCCTTTGAAAAACAGATGGTTGGAAAGCCTCACCTGGTAGGTGAGTCCAGTTGTGTTGTTGGAGACAAAATGAAGGTGTGTCTGGAAAAGGTCCAGGTAGCAGTCATGCACATCCTGCAGAGAGAGAGAGAGAGAGAGAGAGGGTGAGGTCATAGCAGATATCGTCAAACCAATCTATGCAGGATTTAAGGTCTTGAACTAGAAGCGAGAACAGTATAACACTATAATCTTTACATGATCAAGTCTCCTATTAGCTTGTCTAATAACACCAACTGGAATATCACTTCATGACTATATGTCTATTACAGTGGTCCTAAGGGGCAACATAGTCTTTGTTTCTACCCAGACCTCTGCACTCTTTTTCTCTGATGATCAAAAGGAGTGGCGTCTTGACCCAGTGCAATGGATGAGTCCTAAATAGCACCCTATTCCCTATAAATTGCACTACTTTTGACCAGAGCGTATGGGCCCTGGTCAGAAGTAGTGCACTGAATGGGAATAGGGTTCCATTTGAGACGAGCATAATGTCATGATGAATCAATCTCCAAATCAGCATCCTGTCAACAACATCCTGTGTTTCTAACGGGCTGGTCTTATTCTTAACGATCCTATAATGCTGTCAACGTTGATTTGAATGTCATTTTACACCTATAGGAAGTGGTGTGCTGGGACTTGGATTATGAGGATTTGTGTTATTATGAGGACTTGTGATTTACAATAACTTCCTGACATTTGACAAGCCTTCAACTATTTTAGGGTTCACCTCTTTTTCAACAAAACAGTGAAGCAATACTTCCTCGCTTTACGTTCGGCATTGTATTGAGTTACCAAACAATGTGTTCTTTCCCCTATGACCTCATCCAACAGTCCATTCTTTCAACCTTTTTTTCTCTCTCCCTCTTTTCTTGACAGCATGGTTGCATCTGTGACAGATTCCCACGGTTGGGCACCTGTTTTCCCATATACCTGTTCTGAGATCAGCCCTGTGTTTGTCTCAGGGAGGTGTTTCCTGGTCCCTCAGAGCTCAGCGTGTTCAAACACAGGTCCCCTAAACTGAACACTGTTTTGATTCATCACCGCCGGTCACCGCGTCAATGTAGCTAAGCGTTAGCTAAGCGCTTCACACTGCCACAGAGCATAGGCTACATCCTGTCCCCTCCACCTGTTTGTTTGGTTTGCCTCCCGTCCGGGTGACTAACACGCTGTTTCACTGTGGGGCTGAGGCTTGTTTAAATACCTCATTAACCACAATGACTGTGTGGAGATATGTTTATTGTGCTGTGTCATTTTTTCATTAATGTAGTTAGTTAAATACACTATATATACACAAAAGTATGTGGACACCCCTTCAAATTAGTGGATGTGGCTATTTCAGCCACACCCGTTGCTGACAGGTGTATAAAATCGAGTACACCGCCATGCAATCTCCGTCGACAAACATTGGCAGTAGAATGGCCTTACTGAAGAGCTCAGTGACGTTCAACGTGGCACCGTCATAGGATGCCACCTTTCCAACAAGTCAGTTCATCAAATTTCTGCCCTGCTAGAGCTGGCCAGGTCAACTGTATGTGCAGTTAATGTGATGTGGAAATGTCTAGGAGCAACAACAGCTCAGGCGCGAAGTGGTAGGCCACACAAGCTCACAGAATGGGACCGCCGAGTGCTGATGTGCGTAGCACGTAAAAATCGCCTGTCCTCGGTTGCAACACTCACTACCGAGTTCCAAAGTGCCTCTGGAAGAAACGTCAGCACAAGAACTGTCCGTCGTCAGCACAAGAACTGTTCTTCGGGAGCTTCATGAAATGGGTTTCCATGGCCGAGCAGCCGCACACAAGCCTAAGATCACCATGTGCAATGCCAAGTGTCGGCTGGACTGGTGTAAAGCTCGCCGCCAATGGACAGTGGAAACGCGTTCTCTGGAGTGATGTATCACGCTACAGCATCTGGCAGTCCGACGGACGAATCTGGGTTTGGCGGATGCCAGGAGAACGCTACCTGCCCCAATGCATAGCGCCAATTGTGAAGTTTGGTGGAGGAGGAATAATGGTCTAGGGCTGTTTTTCATGGTTCGGGCTAGGCCCCTTAGTTCCAGTGATGGGAAATATTAACGCTACAGCATACAATGACATTCTAGACGATTCTGTGCTTCCAACTTTGTGGCAACAGTTTGGGGAAGGCCCTTTCCTGTTTCAGCATGACAATGCCCCTGTGCACAAAGCGAGGTCCATACAGAAATGGTTTGTCGAGATCGGTGTGGAAGAACTTAACTGGCCTCCACAGAGCCCTGACCTCAACCCCATCGAACACCTTTGGGATGAATTGGAACGCCTACTGCGAGCCAGGCCTAATCGCCCAACATCAGTGCCTGGCCTCACTAATGCTCTTGTGGCTGAATGGAAGCAAGTCCCCGCAGCAATGTTCCAACATCTAGTGGAAAGCCTTCCCAGAAGAGTGGAGGCTGTTATAGCAACAAAGTGGGGACCAACTCCATATTAATACCCATGATTTTGGAATGAGATGTCCACATACTTCTGGTCATGTAGTGTATATAAAGTGACTTGAGGTAACGCTGTATAAGTGTGTGTGTGTGTGTGTGTCTGTGTGTGCTCGCATGGCCTGTCATCAGAACCATACAAAACATACTTTACGTATTTCTGAGAACCTCCAAGACATATGATACCTACTAATGGTATAGTTACTTCAGACATTCTCCTTTTGTTGTTATAACGCTAAAAGCAACCTGGTCTCAGTGAAAGACGTATAATACTATAAATCATATGATATTATACAACCGTTATTCCATTCATAATATAACTTAATGTAATGTAACATATCATACTAAATGGAGTATCACAGATTTATGTACAGAATAATACGAATTGCCCTGAGACCAAGTTGGTGTGTGTGCGCATGTCTCTGTGTGTATGTCTCTGTGTGTATGTCTATGTGTGTATGTCTATGTGTGTAGGTATGTCTCACCTGGCAGTGGAGAAAGCGGAAACGGACTTTAGAATGGTGGACCATCCTGCCGTAGTTCTTGACATTGATGCTGCTCTTCTTCCAGCCACTGACCGGGTCGTAAGGGAACGGAGGGTCCCACTTAACGTTCTCGATCGCCTGCAGGTCTTTATGGGTCATTTCCTGCAACCGGCAATCACGTCAGTGAACATTAGACCGCTGTACACAACAAACTTACATAGCCCTTTCCTGCAGTCAATGACCAGAAGCGCCCTCTTTGGCCCAATGGGTGGAATGTTATTAATATTTATCATATTTACATAATTAATAACAGTTATTTTTTTATCACGACGAATATTCAGTGTTTCTATGTCAAACAGTTTTGTTATATTTCAGTCTTCTGTGATGAACTGTATATAAAATGTAATATTGGGATGCAAACTCAAAATTGAATACATTTTAATTCTACATCTGACATGGTACAGGTGTCTTATTTTTTAAAAGCCCATAAGCATGTGTGTGAAGTGTGTACTTTTGTTTCAAAGTAGATTTGTTTAAGACTACCAAGAATCATTCTGTGTGACCCTTATTTAGCCCACTGCAGTAAAAGGTTAAATAAGTTTGGTTGTTAAGACAAGACTAATGTAGAGGTAATGTTTTTTCTTAAAGGTTTATTTGGTTGTCCCTATAGGAGAACACTTTTCTGGTTCCTACAGGACAGAAGGATAGCTAATTTTAGATAGATATACAGTGCCTTGCAAAAGTATTCATCCCCCTTGGCGTTTTTCCTATTTTGTTGCATTACAACAAAATAGTCAAAATTGGTGAAGTGAAATAAAAAAAATAACTTGTTTCAAAGAATTCTAAAAAATAAATAACGGAAAAGTGGTGCGTGCATATGTGTTCACCCCCTTTGCTATGAAGCCCCTAAATAAGATCTGGTGCACCAATTACCTTCAGAAGTCACATAATTAGTTAAATAAAGTCCACCTGTGTGCAATCTAAGTGTCACATGTTCTGCCACATGATCTCAGTATATATACACCTGTTCTGAAAGGCTTCAGAGTCTGCAACACCACTTTCGCAAGCCACTGTATACAGTATACAGGTATGGACATAGTAAGTGTGTTTGTCTGATATGGTGAGATGAGACAATTAGATATGGAATATTTGTGTATGTTAATGAAATATGTCTATGGTAGAGAGAGAGGCATATTTTCAGCAGTCCTTACCTTCCTCGGGGTGACAGTGCAGAGAATATTGATGATGCTGTTGGACTTCTCCTGTCCTTCCTGGGGATAATTCTTACGGAACAAGCGACTGCTGCTCGGGAGGGGAGGGAATGGGGAGAGAAGCATGTGTTAGAACTCGCTCTCCCATGTTTACCATACAATCCCGTGTAGCTCAGTTGGTAGAGCATGGCGCTTCCAACGCCAGGGTTGTGGGTTCGATTCACATGGGGGGCCAGTATGAAAATGTATGCACTCACTAACTGTAAGTCGCTCTGGGTAAGAGCGTCTGCTAAATGACTAAAATGTAAATGTAGCCTAGCCTATCTGCTTGCTGTATTACCAGTTAGGTTCCCAATGGCAGATTTGTTTTTTTAATGAGTTCAAGACAGATGTGTTTCTTTCTGAAGAGTTCTCTTGTCTGGTTTTTGGTTTGAAAGTGTGAGGAGTGTAAAATACTGCTTGGTGTCGCTTTGTAAATCTGGACTTTTTAACTGGTTTCTCCGAGTGAGTAAATTCCCATCGCGATCCAACCTTTGCTCTTTTTTTTCTTGACAGCTTAATGACGTCGAAACATGGTTTGTTTCTCATCGTGTGATCTCAATTGACCAGGAACTCTCTCATCAGTTCCGTTCAATATCACCAATTGAACTGAGCAGAACAACCAGGGCTTGTGTCTGAGATAGGCAGGGCATGAATAGATCAATCAGGCTTCAATGTCTTCCATTGTCACGACTGACCCCCATCTGTTATCATTAGTGTCACATCTTTATAGCTAAGCTTTTCCGGTGCGTTGATAACAGAGGGAGTCAACTTTTACAAGCTCCCTCGAGTCTATCTCCCTGTGTCCAATCTGAATGTCGTTAGCGCGAACAATATCTTTGTTGTGCTATGTGGGAATCAACTTCGGATCAGTATGTGATGACTGACTAACATGACTGGCAAGCATCAATCAATCATCAAATAATGAGATCGCTATTTTGCAGGTTCTTGTTCTTTGAGTTCTGAACAGGGCGGCAGGTAGCTTAGTGGTTAAGAGCGTTGTGCCAGTAACCAAAAGGTCGCTGGTTCTAATCCCCGAGCCGACTAGGTGAACAATCTGTCGATGTGCCCTTGAGCAAGGCACTTAACCCTAATTGCTCCTGTAAGTCGCTCTGGATAAGAGCGTCTGCTAAATGACAAAAATTAAGTTGTGTACACTGACTGTCTGATGCAGATAATAGACACGTAGCTGCGAACCTAGCATTCTTTGTGTCACTGGATTGGCATTCACATTCAATCGCTTGGCTCTGTAGGGAATACCTGAACTGAACCTGGCCTGTTTCCCTAACACACAGACAGCAGGACATAGAGGGAGTGAGGACACTGATGTTATTGTTCCAAGTTGAACAATCAAATCACCTGTGTGTGTGTGCATGCGTGCGTGGAGAGAGAGGGTCAGAGAGAGCCCACTCTGGAAATGTGATGTACTTGTAGAGTATATTGTTTCAAACAATGTCTTAAAATGAACAAAACCAAAAAGGGTAGTTTTGAGATATTCATATTAAGTAAATAAATGTGAAAATGTATATTTCCGAATCTAGACATAATCCATATGTTAGAGCACACTATAAGGAGTATGACTCCAAGATGTTGTCTGTATCATGTACAGTTGATGGATCATAAGGCATATAAAAAGTCTAGAAAGGGCATAAAATGGACACTCTCATCATGATAAAAAAATCAATTGTTTGTGATACAAATCTAAAAAAGCATGTCAAACATCCTTCCTCCCAATGAAGTTTCTATGTGAGAATTGCCAGAACAATCTGAGATATCAAAAATATGTTCTGCTCCCGCTGGCGTGGAATCTCCCATAAGAAAAAGCAGAAAGTCTTGATTTATTTATACTGATAGTTCATTAAAGTAGCATAAGCTTACAACACTGCTAATCAATACTTGAGCAGTCGTCCAACCCATACAAGATAATTATTTCATGACCAGGATATTGACTCTTCATGTCCCGGCAGTGTTCCTATTCTATTCGAACCAGTCTATTCAATTCTATACTATTCTATTGGGGCTTAGATCCTGATAAGAGAAGGGAACCATATTATCTGACAACCGACACATCAGATTAGATGGAAATAAGGCAAATGGTAACTGCAGTACACACATACAGTTTTAAACACAGTTGTAATTATGGTGTTCACACAGTCAGAAAGATATCACTGCTCATGTGCTCTCATGTACCCCCTATGTGATCCTGACTCTGACCCCATAAACCTCACAACCTCCATTTAAACCATACAGCTCAAACGCTGTGAAATACCAGGATTTCCCTCCAGCTGAAACAGCCAAGTCTAAAATAACACACCACAACGAATGAGCCAGACATGTATGACATTTAGGCTCTGTCTTGAACAAACACCAGAAGTACAGTGAAAATACAGAGTTGAAGATGTGTTTTATGAGGGATCGTTCTTCCTTCCTTACCTGTTCCTGCGTATGAAACTCTTGCTGGAGAACCTGAAGTTGTGTTGGGGAACACATGACATGCTGCTCCCCATGTTGCTCTACTGTTGTTGGGGCTGTACACTCCTCTGTAGACGTCCTGTATTATATTCCCTGTGTGATGGTGAATGTGTAATCCAAAGCAGACGGTGTGGTGGTGTGCTCCTTGCTGAAGTCAGGCAGATACTGAGGGAGAAGTGGGCAGGGCGAGTGCTGTATAGACAGACTGGTGTGTGGGAGGGAGGGAGTGAGAGTGTGTGTGCGCAGGGGGAGGGGCTTTGTGTGTGTGTGTGTGTGTGTGTGCGTGTCTTTGTGGGGGTGGGGGGGTTCACACCATGCCTGGGATCCCTCTGTTAAAGCCATTCCACAACAAAGACGGGGCCGAGCGAAGTGTGCCATTTCACACTTTTCACCAGCCAAATGGGCCTCGTCTCAATGTTTGAAGGCTATCACGAGAAGATACAGGTCACTCTGAATTGATGGTGGTTGATGGCAGTGTCAGACTGGGGCATGTCTGAACATGAAATTGCCTGTGGCCCAAAGGAGTATTTATTATTGCCCCACATACTTTGAGCACAACAACTTCATTCTGAAACTTAAGTAATGGTACAGGATGTGATAATGGAACAGACAATCTCTTGTGGGGCTCTCCAGAGGGTGGTGCGGTCTGCCCAACGCATCACTGGGGGCAAACTACCAGCCCTCCAGGACACCTACAGCACCCGATGTCACAGAAAGGCCAAAAAGATCATCAAGGACAACAACCACCCGAGCCACTGCCTGTTCACCCCGCTATCGCAAAGCCATCAGACTGTTCAATAGCCTTTGCTAGCACATTAGAGGCTACTGCCTATATACTGTACATAGATTAGAAATCACTGGCCACTTTAAGAAATGGAACACTAGTCACTTTAATAATGTTTACATTTACATTTACGTCATTTAGCAGACGCTCTTATCCAGAGCGACTTACAAATTGGTGCATTCACCCTATAGCCAGTGGGATAACCACTTTACAATATGTTTTTTATTTATTTATTAATTATTTATTTTTTTGGGGGGGGGCGACGGGGTAGAAGGATTACTTTATCCTATCCCAGGTATTCCTTAAAGAGGTGGGGTTTCAAATGTCTCCGGAAGGTGGTGAGTGACTCCGCTGTCCTGGCGTCGTGAGGGAGCTTGTTCCACCATTGGGGTGCCAGAGCAGCGAACAGTTTTGACTGGGCTGAGCGGGAACTATGCTTCCGCAGAGGAAGGGGAGCCAGCAGGCCAGAGGTGGATGAACGCAATGCCCTCGTTTGGGTGTAGGGACTGATCAGAGCCTGAAGGTACAGAGGTGCCGATCCCCTCACAGCTCCATAGGCAAGCACCATGGTCTTGTAACAGATGCGAGCTTCAACTGGAAGCCAGTGGAGTGTGCGGAGGAGCGGGGTGACGTGAGAGAACTTGGGAAGGTTGAACACCAGACGGGCTGCGGCATTCTGGATGAGTTGTAGGGGTTTAATGGCACAGGCAGGGAGCCCAGTTTACATATCTTGCATTACTCATCTCAAATGTATATACTGTATTTTATACTATTCTACTGTATCTTAGTCTATGCTGCTCTGACATTGCTCGTCCATATATTTATTTATATATTCTTAATTCAATTGCTTTACTTAGATTTGTGTGTATTGGGTATATGTTTTGAAATTGTTAGATATTACTTGTTAGATATTACTGCACTGTCAGAGCTAGAAACACAAGCATTTCGCTACACCCGCAGTAACATCTGCTAAACACGTGTATGTGACCAATAACATTTGATTTGATTATGTTGTTTTATATAATAAATGGCAAAAAGACCATCAAAAAATAAATCATAAGGAAAAATAATTTGAAGTGTCCTCTTTCTTGGAGATATAAGAAAGCTCAGGATATATTTTAGTTTTTTGGACAAATTTTCAACCCCATATTTATGTTGGCACAAAACTACCTCCATACTTCTTGTCACAGCCTGATCGGTTTCACCTGTCTTGTGCTTGTCTCCACCCTTCACCAGGTGTCTCCCATTTGTCCCTATTATCCCTTGTATATTTATACCAATGTTTTCTGTTGCCAGTAAGTCTTGTCAAGCTTACCCGCATTTCCCGTACTCCTGTTTTGCTCTAGTCCCTGTTTTCCGGTTTTGACCATTCTGCCTGCCCTGAGCCTGCCTGCCGTTCTGTACCTTGTGACACTGTTCTGGATTACCGACCTCTGCCTGCCCAGACCCTGAGCCTGCCTGCCATTTCTGTGCCTTTCGGACTCTGCTCTGGATTACTGACCTCTGCCTGCCATTGACCTGTCGTTTGCCTGCCCCCTGTTTTTGTAAATAAACGTTTTGCTATTTCGAACTGTCTGCATCTGGGTCTTATCCTGAGCCTTGATAGTACGAACTGGCCATGACGGACCCAGCAGACTCGGACCAGCTCCATAATGCCGTCTCCTCCCAAGGAGCCACCATTGGGAGGCACGAGGAGTTGCTGCGTGGTCTTATAGAGGGTTTTCAGACCTTGGCCAAACGCCATGACCGCGCGTTGAATACATTGCTGGAGCAATTCCACGAGGGGTCTGTTAGGCAGCCTACCACGATGGTAACCTCCCAGCCCCTCAGTAACCCAGCTGTCAACAGCGTGTCTCTCCTGGCCACCCCGGCTTCCCGAGAACCCCGCTTACCTCCACCGGAACGCTTCGCTGGAAAGTCGGGAACCTGTCGGGCGTTTCTCGCTCAGTGTTCCCTCATCTTTGAGCTGCAGCCCTCCTCCTTCCCCTCGGACCGCTCGAAGATAGCGTACCTCATCACGCTAATGTCCGGGAGGGCTCTCGCCTGGGCTACAGCAGTGTGGGAACAACAGTCTGCCGTATGCTTCAGTCTGGAGGAGGTCATGGACGAGGTGAAGAAGGTTTTCGATTCTCCATTGTCTGAGAGAGAGGATGCCCGGAAGTTACTACAGCGGCTTTTATCGCCGCTTTATCCGGGGTTATAGCACCCTGGCTTCTCCCCTGTCTGCACTCACCTCTCCCAAGGTTCCGTTCACGTGGTCCCCAGCTGCGGACCGGGCGCTCTGGGACCTCAAACACCTCTTCACCACATCTCCCATATTAGTTCATCCTGACCCGTCCCGTCAGTTCGTGGCGGAGACCGACACTTCGGATGTCGGAGTAGGGGCTGTCCTGTCCCAATGTTCTGCCCTAGACCTCAAGCTGCATCCCTGCGCCTTCTTCTCCCATCGTCTTAACGCCACGGAGAGGAATTACGATGTGGGGAATCGTGAGCTTCTCACGGTGAAGATGCCACCAAACGTCTCAATTCCAAGCAAGCTAGGTGGGCCCTGCTATTCACCCAGTTTAACTTCTCCCTCTTCTACCACCCGGGTTCCAAGAATATCAACCCGGATGCGCTCTCACGCCGCTATAGCCCCGCGGCTACCCCATCGGACCCCGAGACCATCCTCCCCACCTCGTGTCTGGCGGCGGCTCTCAGCTGGAGAATTAAGAAGCAGGTACGTGAGGTGCAGCATTCCCAGCTGAACCCCGGGGGGGGACCCAGACAACCGGCTGTTTGTTCCTGATGCTGTCCGCCCCTCGGTCCTGGAGTGGGCCCACTCCTCCAGGCTTACCTGCCACCCAGGTTCCCACCGGACCCTGGCCTTTGTGCGACAACGCTTTTGGTGGCCTACCTTCGTCCCTGACGTCTCCGCGTTCGTCGATACCTGCACGATCTGTGCACAGAATAAGACTCCTCGGCAACCTGTGGCTGGTCTCCTTCAACCCCTTCCTGTCCCTCACTGTCCCTGGTCACACACATCCCTGGACCTCGTCACTGGTCCCCCCCATCTGATGGCTATACCGTCATCCTTACTGTGGTGGACTGGTTTTCCAAAGCTGCCCATTTCATTCCTCTCCCCAAACTACCCTCTGCCAAAGAGACAGCCCAGCTCATGGTGCAGCACGTCTTCCGGATCCATGCACTCCCGGTGGACATGGTGTCCGACCGGGTCCTCAGTTCTCGACACAGTTCTGGAAGGCGTTCTGCATGCTCATTGGGTCGTCGGCCAGCCTGTCCTCCGGGTTCCACCCCCAGTCTAACGGCCAGTCGGAGGGAGCCAATCAGGACCTGGAGACGACACTTCACTGCCTTGTCTCCGCCAACCCCACCACCTGGAGCCAACCACTCGTGTGGGTTGAGTACGCCCGCAACACCCTTCTCTGCTCTGCCACTGGTCTCTCGCCTTTTGAGTGTTCCCTGGGATATCAACCCCCGCTCTTCCCGGAGCAAGAGGAAGAGGTCGGCATACCCTCGGTCCAGATGTTCGTCCGCCGCTGTCGCCGTACCTGGAAAATAGAGCCCGGTCGGCTCTTCTCAACACCACCTCCAGGTATCGAGGACAGGCGAACAGCCACTGGACCGCGGCTCCCCGGTATCTTCTCGGAGCAAGAGGAAGAGGTCGGCATACCCTCGGCCCAGATGTTCGTCCGCCGCTGTCGCCGTACCTGGAAGAGAGCCCGGTCGGCTCTTCTCAACACCACCTCCAGGTATCGAGGACAGGCGGACAGCCACTGGACCGCGGTTCCCCGGTATCTTCTCGGGCAGAGGGTATGGCTGTCCACTCAGGATCTGCCCCTCCGGGTGGAGTCCCACAAACTCCCCCCCCCCGTTTTATTGGCCCTTTTCCCATCTCCAAGATCCTTAGCCCCTCTGCTGTTCGTCTTCTTTTGCCCTGTACCCTCCTTATACATACCACTTTTCATATGTCTAGGATTAAACATATGTCTCAGAGCCCTTTGTCTCCTGTTTCCAGGCCCACCCCTCTCCCCCATCTCATCGACGGCCTACCGGCATACCAACTGAGCCACATGGGACCAATAAAAGGAAAGAAACGTGTTGAAAAACTATCACTTTAAACCCAAAATGAACTTAAATTAGTATATTACGTTACATTTTACGAAATGAAAATATCATACATGTACAGCAGACCATGAGAATATTATGTAATTGCTGTATTTTACCTATATGCGTCTCTAATGTGTGTACACTGTTTAAGCCTTGTATGATATTTGTATATGAAATATAGTCCCATATTTAAATGACACCATCCAGTGCTGGAGCAGTTATCTGTCAGTGTGGGACAGGGGGAATCTACAGTTTCAGCA